TAAAAAACGGCGGTAAAAGTTGATCATGCCTAGGAACCTCTGGAGACCACGTACATCCTGGGGATGTGGCTGGAGAAGTAGGGCATCTACATGACGACGTAGGGGAACGATGCCATCAACAGTAATCTTATGTCCCAGGTACTCAATCTCGTGTTGTACAAAACTACACTTATCCAGGTTCAACACTAATCCGTTCTGAACCAGGAGCTCTAGGACAACCCGGAGATGCTCGATGTGGAGTTTCCTGGTCCGACTGGCAATCAGGACATTGTCCAAGTAGATGAAAACAAAGGGTAATCTTCTAAAGATCCTGTCCATCAATCGTTGAAATGTTTGAGCTGCATTTTTCAGTACAAATGGCATATTTAAAAACTCAAACAATCCAAATGGAGTCACAATGGCAGTTTTACAAATATCTGCCAGGATCCATCAGATTTTTGAACCATATGTAGAGGTGAGGCCCACGGACTATCGGAATGACGGATAATCCCTGCCAATTCTAATTTTTGGAACTCAGCTTTAGCTTGTGCTAACTTAACTTGATCCAAACGGCGGGGGCGAGCATATAACGGTTGTCCTTCTGTTTTAATCACATGTTCAACGTTGTGCTCAGGGAGTTTACCAGGTGTTCGTGGATTCCAGGCTGCTGGGAACTCATCCAGGAGAGAGGCAACATCAAGGGCGAGTTTACGCACTGAGGCAAAGGAGGAATCAGCAGGAGTAAACCTAGGCGGTGCAAGAGGTTCGGAGGAGAGATTTTGAAGAACTTGGCGGTTCTTGGTGTCTACTAGGAGGTCAAACTCTGCCAGGAAGTCTGCTCCCAGGATTGGTTGGTCTACATCGGCGAGGAGGAACTGGAACTGGAAACGGCGGGAACCAAACTGTAGAGGAATCAATCTGGAACCCCAAGCTTTAGTTGCCGTCCATCAGCCATTAGGAGGCGGGGGCCTGTCGGTGCAGCTGAGGAGCGATGAGGAAACACAGATCTTGAAGCTCCAGTGTCCACTAAATAATCACGGTTTGACAGGGCATCTTGAAGGTACACGAGATAACCGCCTTTTGTGGAAATAACACTCAGAGTTTGATGGGCCTGGGGTTTGACTATGGCGGTTTGGTGATGGGCTTCTGCAGTCCTGAGCTCTACCACGTGATGGGGAAGATGATGAGGTTGACGCTGCGGCTAGGAGGTGATCAGTAGGTATAGCTTTTCTGGCATCCCACAAACTATTGGCGTATAACGCCATTTCACTAGGGTTTTTGAATTCCCTGGAGACTCGATGGTCCCTCATCTCATCGGGCAACCTCTCCAGAAATAAACCTTGGAACAGGCAACCTGGTTTCTCATCCTCTGGGAGAAGGGCCAACATGGCGTCCATGAGAGCAGTAGGGCGTCGGTCTCCCAGTCCAGGGTGATGAATTAGTTTGGAAACCTTCTGCCAGCGTGATAGAGTATACGAGGAGACAAGCTTGGCCTTTAAATCCTCTTAAGGGGTTTCTGAGGAGGCAGCAGAATCCATGATCAGGCCGCGTACCGAGACCATGATCTTTTTGGGAAGCTTCTGTACGATGTGGTCGAATTTGGTTTTCGACTGTGTGATATCAGCATTTCTGAAGGCAGCCTCTGCATGAAGGAACCACAGGTTGGGGTCCTCTGTCCAAAAATCCGGGAGCTTGACGGAGACTTTGGCGACGCACTCCGTTGGAGTTTCTTTCTGGTCCGTCATGATGCTTGGATGTATCACTTAATGTTTAAAGTTTAAGAAAATCACGGATAGCTTTAACTATAGTTTAACTATATGTTCAAAGTCGGGGGGTCACCAATATAGAGGACGTGAGTCAGACTCTAATGAAAACGCATAAATAACTTCCAGTATATATATTTCTTATAACTTATTACTAGAGGGTTCAGAACTAGAGTAAATATCGAAATCACACATGAAGATGTTTATCAGTACTATGCCCTGTATCCGTTCTATCTCAATCTTGTGGAACTTGTTTAACACGGCCAGGCATCGTCTTCCACAATAATACAAAAGTTACAGAAATACAGAAAATACAGAAAATACATATAATACAAAAAATACAGAAAATACAGAAAATGCAGATAATACAAAAAATACAGAAAATACAGAAAATGCAGATACTACAAAAGTTACAGAAAATACAGAAAATACAGAAAATACAGAAAATGCAGATAATACAAAAATTACAGAAAATACAAAAAATGCAGATAATACAAAAATTACAGAAAATACAGAAAATACAGAAAATGCAGATAATACAAAAATTACAGAAAATACAGAAAATGCAGATAATACAAAAATTACAGAAAATACAGAAACACAGAAAATACAGATAATACAAAAAAATACAGAAAATACAGAAAATGCAGATAATACCAAAATTACAGAAAATACAGAAAACACAGATAATACAAAAAATACAGATAATACAGAAAATGCGGATAATACGAAAAAATAAAGAAATGCAGATAATACAAAAAATGCAGACAATGCATGGATAATAAAAAAATACACAAAATACAGAAAAATTTTTAAAAAAGTTTTAAAAAATGTTGAAATTGAAATTTAATAATTAATCGAAAAAGAGATAAAGAGTCTGTAGAGCGTCAAGTGCGTGTACTATTTGAATATACTGGTCAAGTTAACGTGTTGGAAAAAATCTAGAATCAGCTAGTTTTGTTTAAACCAATAAAGGAAACAGGTTAATATATATTATTACTTATATTAAATATGAAATGCACATAGATCCAGACTTCTTCGAAAAGTTGCATCAAGTGTAAAGACTGGGTTGATTTTTAAGTGTTGCAACACCTTGGCCTTTTATTTTAATGTATTCTTTTTTGTAGCACCGGACATGTTCATTTTAGAACCATAAATCATTTGTTTTCAGCCGTAGTTTTTAAGAAGTAATTAGAAAAAGTCTAAACAGTTTTTTCGTGAGAGCTTACAATTTTAAATTATTGTGAGTGGTGGCCATGAGACAGTATTGGAGCAATGTTACAATGTTATTTTAGCAACTTTGTTATAATTTCATATATTTGCTAACATTGATAGTGCAATTATTTTATGCAGAAGGCACAGTGAAGTAATATATTTTAATAGTAATTCTCGACATCCGTTTCCTACTTAAATATATCCGTTTCCCACTTAGATATATCCGTTTCCTACTTAGATATATCCGTTTCCTACTTAGATATATCCGTTTCCCACTTAGATATATCCGTTTCCTACTTATATAGATCCGTTATATATATGCGTTAGATATATCTGTTTCCTACTTAGTTATATTCGTTAGATATATGCGTTAGATATATCTGTTTCCTACTTATATAGATCCGTTAGATATATGCGTTAGATATATCTGTTTCCTACTTATATATATTCGTTAGATATATGCGATAGATAGATCTGTTTCCTACTTAGTTATATTCGTTAGATATATGCGTATGCAACTCTGAAACTTATTCATCAAATTTTTAAACAGTTTCGCCTATAAAGTGACTCCTGCAAAGTAATTTACAAAATATAAATAAAGTTGTGTCCTATCAATAGTCTACTATCAAGTACTGTCTAACGAGGTACGGGGTGCTCTTTCGCCATGAGCCTCACATTTCTGCATAGGAACTTTAAAATTACCACATAGAAAAGCCACGAGCTGCACACTTTTTCTCTAAACTTTGTCATTAGGCTCCGCCAGTTTAATCTTAAATGATTTGTTTGATTTGTAAATACAGAAATCATCAAACATTTCTTTTTAGTGTAAAACAAACATGATACATTTAGTTTCAGGAATTAATTATCATGTGGGGATGGATGGAGGTATTGTTAAAAATGCTGTGACTCAGAGGTTAAAAATTCGGGGCTCATGGCGGCCAAGCAACCCCTTCCTCGTCCACCTCCGGCTGACTCACTTCCCTTACTCGCATTCTAGATCAATTTGTATCAAATTACAGTCAAGGAAGCTCACAAGAAAATTTTAATCTCTTTAATAATAATAAAAGATTGAAATTATCATTTTTATTTGACAAGTGTTAAAGTCAAATTTTTTGCTATAAGGCTTTGAAGGTCAAATATGTTGTATAGATTTAATATTGAAAATACAGAATTTACAAAATATGCATGAAAATATATAAACGTCTCAAATTTGTATTTTAAAAGATTATATTATTTATTTATTTAAATTCTGAATTATACAGCTCCCTTATGATTGAATCAAGTTAGTAACAGTATTTCTGTCCTATAATAGATTCATAGATTTAAACAACAAGTTTTTTATAAATAGTTCGATTTGATAATTGGCTATTCAGAATAGTGTGTGATATCTTAGACCCTGGAATGCACTGATAAAAGAGGACTTAAACATAATTGTGATCACTGTATGCAAATTGAGTTTAAATTTATCGCATTTCACTTGCAGTATCGAATTTGACGAAAGGCACCTTGAAATTGCGAACATTTTCTTCGAAAATCACAAATGTAATGTAAATAATTGTAAGAAATCTCTAACATTTTGTTCATAGTTTCAAAAACAATGTTCGATATTTCGAAAAGATCGATAAGTTTTATATTTCGAAAGGCTTTTGATAAGCTCAATATTTCGAAAGGCTTTTGATAAGTTCAATATTTCGAAAACCTTCTGATAAGTTCAATATTTCGAAAACCTTCTGATGAAGTTCAATATTTCGAAAACCTTCTGATAAGTTCAATATTTCGAAAAGCTGTTGGTAAGTTCGATATTTCAGAGAGCTTTCGATAACTTCTATATTTCGGAAAGCTTCCATTAAGTTTGATTTTTCGAGAAAATTTTGATACATTCGATATTTAAAAAAGTTTTTGATAAGGTCAATATGTCGAAAAGCTTTCGAAAAGTTTGATATTTTTGAAAAACTTTTGATAGGTTTATTTCGAAAAGCTTTCGAACGATATTTTGGAAAGCTTTTGGTAACTTCATGTTACGAACGCCAATGATATATTTTTCTAAACTAAATCTAATTTTAGATAAAATGGGCGAGGAGGTTGAGAAGTTGAGTGATCTTGAAGGAAAAATATCGGATTTAACTAGATCGGTTCAAGATATTCAGGTTAGACAAGTACAGGGTGTCCCACAAAACACAAAACACAAAAAAAAATGACAGCAGCAAGACGACCTAATAGTTGATCGTTAATAGTCATAAAAAACTTGACTGGTCTGACTTTTTGTGCTTTCAATATTAACTGAGAATATCAAAATTCAAAAATGTTGTTTGATAAAATTGAAAATTGAACGAAATTCTCAATATCGCCGGTAATATTGACAACACAAAAATAGGAGAAAATATTTTGGAAATCCCAGAACTAGAAGATTTGTGTAGTTTTGTTTTTGAGGTTGTATATACTGAACTGTGTTTCATGTTTATTCTATTATTTGAAATCGTAAAAGTCGTCTTCCTGTTTCTTAGTTTTCTGGTTTCAACTGTATATTGACTAACGGTTTCAAGAGAATCTAACAACCAAATCGATTTTAACCCCATCCCTGCTGAGATACTTGAAAACTAGGATTCGCTGTGGGGGGGGGGGAATTTGTCCCCCCCCCCTCTAAATCCCATGTTTATGTCCAAATATGACAAATGATACATCATTGGAAAGCTCTTATGCTCTACTTTTATAATCTGCAAAAAAATTGCAATCTTGCAAAAATTGATCTTTTTTTGCAAAATCCAGTTATCAAGTAAAAAGTTTGCAAAAAAAATGGTCAAAAAAATAATGAAAAATATAATTTTTAAAAGCCCTTGAACATGCCATTTCAAATATGCAAATAATTTTGCAAAATTCTAAATAACCTGATGCGTAATTAAGAAACTAAAAATGTGCAAATTTCTTTTGACGGTGAGTTTGCAAATAATTTTCAAAACTTCTTTGCACAACAGGAAAAAGTAGTCATTCAGGCAGTGTGCAGTTAGTATATAAGCCCGGTTTAAGACCTTAAGGGAGGGCTATGGGTATTTAGGAAAAGTCAGAAAATTTCAACAGCCTCAGACCAATTCTTTTTGAGTTATGTAAAAAAACTACGGTGGGGTCAAACTTANCCCCCAGCAGAAATAGGGTTTAATTTTTCAGAACGTTAAAGCCAATAATTAATTTTAAATTGATAAAAAAACATTTACAAAGTGCTAAACAGCGCAACTAAAGAAACGCTTAATAACGCAATTAAATTTTCCAATGATCGCTAAATTCTATTCAAGAAAAAGCTCAAAAACGCAATAATCAACGTCCTTAAAAAGCTAAATAACGCTATAATAATTGTCGAGAAAACGCTTAAGAACATTTAGTATAGACATTGCTTTTAGGTAAACCAGAAAACGTTGAGCCAGCATCTTAAAGTAGCAAATATTTCAAATCGTCTGGATGGAGTTGAAAAACGACAAGAAGAGGTATTATTATTACTAGTAGTATTATCATTAATATTATTATAATTATTATTATTATTTTTATTACAGTGAAACCCTTAATAACGAATACATCGAAAGAATTCATCAAATGTCGTATTCTTCACTTTCTGATAATTGGAATGTTGCAGATATTTAGTTTTTTTTTTCATCATTATTTTTTTCATCTTATTGTTGTTTTTATAATCTAATATTATTTCTAATCATTATTTTTTTTCATCATTATTTTTTTCATCTTATTGTTGTTTTTATACTCTAATATTCTTCCTAATCATTAATTTTTTTTATTCGAAAGAATTATCTAGTTAAAATCAATAAGATATTTTTGAACTTTTCAAAGTAAATATATGTGTCACAAAATGCTAGTCCTTCCGAATCAATCTTGATTACAGAAAACGCACTGTATTTCTGTCTTCTCTACCTAGGGTTTAGCCAGGTCTATTCAACGCTTGGTTTTACATTATACTAGCTATTTATTGAAACATAAGGTTACAGGTCAAATAGGGTGACCGGCGCGTAGCGGGCATCCAACTAGTATATATATATATTTACAAGGTTCATGAACGATAATGTTAATCCTTCATTTGGTTACGAGATATGCATAAAATCATGATAATAGTTATTGAAAGGAATATAAATAAGGTATCAGGTTTCCCTGATATAGTTCTCGGTGATTATTATTAAATATACATAGTGTTAAATCTATCATTTACTCTAAGAAAAATTACCATCAATGGAAACCAATCAGTGAAACATTGAATCCTTATATCTTTGCAACTTAGTGTCGTATATCTTTGATATTTCAGGTTATCTAATGCATCAGTTCATTAGTTGATTTTCTTTTTTATTATTGAAGTAGATTTTTTATTATTGAAGTAAATTTTGTTGATTTTTTTATTTAAGTAGATTTTTTTAATGTTAAAGTATTTTTTTATTTCCTTTTTTATCATTTAGACCATTCATTTATGGAGTTGCGTTTTTGATTCATATTTTTGCCTATTCTAGCTAAAAAACGTATATCTCAGATATCCTCATTTAACTTGAGTTAAGTCAACACAGTGCACGGTCCCTTTACTTCAGGTTATCCGACTGTTAAGTAACCTTAGGAATGAATTGGCTGGTATCTCATCAGGAATGGCCAGAAGGGATAGTCTCATGCTAGGCACAGGTATCCAGCAGAGTAGAGTAGAGTAGAGTAGAGTAGAGTAGAGTAGAGTAGAGTAGAGTAGAGTAGAGTAGAGTAGAGTAGAGTAGAGTAGAGTAGAGTAGATTAGAGTAGAGTAGAGTAGAGTAGAGTAGAGTAGGGTAGGGTAGGGTAGAGTAGAGTAGAGTAGAGTAGAGTAGAGTAGAGTAGAGTAGAGTAGAGTAGAGTAGAGTAGAGTAGAGTAGGGTAGGGTAGAGTAGAGTAGAGTAGAGGAGAGTAGAGTAGAATAGAGTAGAGTAGTAATATCTGGGACAAAAGGTTTATTAAGGATTAAGAATTAATATCTAGGATTAAGGATTAATATTTAGGATTATGGATCGATATTTAGGATAGATTGAATATCTAAAATTATGGATAAATATCTAGAATTAAGGATAAATATTCAGAATTATTTATTATTATCTAGGATTAAGGATTCATATCTAGGATTATGGATTAGTAGCTAGAATTCAGGATTAATATCTAGAATTAAGGATTAATATCTAGGATCAAGGATTTGTAACTAGGATTAAGGATTAATATCTATAATCCAGGATTAATATCTAGGATCAAGGATTTGTAACTAGAATTAAGGATTAATATCTATGATCAAGGATTAATATGTAGGATTAAGGATTAATATCTAGGATTAAGGATTAATATCTAGGATTAAGGATAAATATCTAGAATTAAGGATTAATATCTAGGATCAAGGATTAATATTTAGGATTAAGGATTAATATCTAGGATCAAGGATTAATATCTAGGATCAAGGATTTGTAACTAGGATTAAGGATTAATATATAGGATCAAGGATTTGTAACTAGGATTGAGGATTAATATCTGTGATCAAGGATTAATATCTAGGATTAAGGATTAATATATATGATTAAGGATTAATATCTAGGATCAAGGATTAATATCTAGGAGTAAGGATTAATATCTAGGACTAAGGATCAATATCTAGGATTGACGAATATGAGAAGGGATTCTTTAATCCTTGAAAGTTCTAGTCGACGTGGCTCCGTCCTGCTTGCAGCTGATGGACTGATAGGTATAATCAGAAAACAAATTACATAATTAATTTGGAAAAAATACGGTAAAATTTGTTTCAAGATGTTGGTAATAGGACTTCTTCGAGGGGACTCATGCAACAAGTTTTCATTTTTTTACAGTTTACTATTGGTTTAGATTTTATTTCATGTTCTCTCTACAAGTTATTTTTAAGTACTTTGTGCAAAATTTTTATTCCGGCGGGGGGAAGGGGTCTCTTCCGTTTTTTGGAAATAACTCAAAAAGTATTGGTCTGAGGCTGTTCAAATTTGTAGTCTTTCTAACTTATACATTCCGCCAACTTTCGGCTCAAAGCGGGGGTTTTATACATAATGCCTCAGGCACCTGCCTGAATGCTTTATTTTACCTTTACCTACTAAATCTTTATTTAGATATACTTCCGGTCATTGGATTTTACTTTTATTTTGTTGTTTTAAGAGCCTGGAACATGAGAAAGAAGATTGCACAATTTTTGCATAGATTTTTGCATGGATGCCTTCGAAGAAAATTTGCGTATCTTCCGTTTTCCCTGAATTTAGTATACTAATTAAGTTTTTGAAAATTTTGCAAATATGTTTGCATATTTGAATTCGCCGTGTCAAGGGCTTTTTAAAAAATGTATAATTCATCATATTTTGCGCACTTTTAGATTTTGCACATTATTTGCTTTATAACTTAAAATTGCAAAAATATTTGAACTTTTGCAAAGGAAGTGAGTTTTTGCCACAAATGCCAATTTTATAATACCGAAATCTCAACGACCAGATGATGCATACCTTTCATATTTCAAACTTACATTGTTTGATCCACCAAAATTCATAGTTTGAAATATCTACGGTCGACGATATTTGATTTTAAAGAAATTGGGATTTAAAAATCCGAGTTTGTGGCAAAAACTCAATTCCTTTGCCCTTTTTTCAAGTGTTATAGATTTGTTTCACAAAAAGGAAATAGAGGGGGGGGGGGTCACTGGGACCGAACCCCCTCCCCACTTCCCCCCCCCCAGTCTATTTTGGGTAAGCCAGTCGTCAGCCTGAAGTGGGTTAAGGTTCTAGCATTTTTTATACAAATTGGACCTACAACAAATATATCTCATATTCTCGAGAATTAAGTAAACACCATGACAAGGAACCTCCATGTAGATCCGGTTAATTTTAGAAATGACAAAGATATATTTGTTTCCCTGTTCAAAACATTGTTAACTTATAATAAATACATACAGTCTTTCTGCACCATAAATCCACAAGTCTCATTTATATCTAATGTACAATTAAAAAAAAAAAATTTTTAGAAAGAAAAAAGAGTACAACTCATTCAGAGAAATTGATTTGAAATTCCGGGGTGTACATCGGACAAAACACAATGTAAATGAAAGGTTATTTAAAATTAGGCGTACAGTCCCTTTAAAGGACGATTATATATTTAGGAAAAGGGAATACTATCCCTGTAATGGAGGTGGAACCCTGGCAGCCATCAACTGAAGTCCAACAGGTACTTTTTCAAGGGGAAGGGGGAACGGGCACGCACCTCTGACCCTTCAGTAAAACTAAATTCAACCTACAGTCTGACCGCGTCAACCTTGTTGCACAATTGAGTGTCTGCTTTATTTACCCAATGTCCGGGCGATACAGTACAAACTGGGCCGGAAAAGTTGACCCAGCTCGGAAATTCAAATGTACTATGGCTGCTCGTGCGGGGTGGAGGTAGGGTTGTTAATCGTTTTTTGTTTCGTTTTCAAAAACGATCGTTTCGTTTTAGGAAAAAAAACGATCGCTTTTAAAAACGACCCAAATATTTTGAATTTTTACGTTTTTAATAAAACGATTTGCGACCGTTTTTATATGATTGTTTAAAAAACGATCGTTTTGGAAAACGAAGTGTCGTCGTTTACGATCGTTAACGAAAGGTCGTCGTTAAAGATCTTTAACGAAGGGTTGTCGTTAAAGACCGTTAACGAAACGACGAACTTTATCACAACGGTCGTTTTTGAAAAAAAAAATTACATGCAACTTTATTGAATGTCGTCTTACATGAAGTTTAACAGTTGTGGGGGAGTTAAAACTCCTTGATATTTTCTTAAAAACTACTCAATGATAAGTACAGATGCCCTTCAGGTCGGTTTCCTCTCGTCGTTAACGATCGTTAATGAAACGACGAATTTTATAAAAACGAGCGTTTTGAAAAAGGATCGTTTTAAAAACGACCTTTTTTAAAAAACGATCGTTTTTAAAAACGATCGTTTCGTTTTCGATTTTCCGTCGTCGTTATCATAATGAAACGATCGTTTTTCTGAAAAATGAAAACGTTAACATCCCTAGGTGGAGGGAAGCCCGGTACATGTCAAACACAAGTAAATTCCACTTCAGATTTTTTTGGATTTCTAGAACAGTGTTAAGCAAAAAACTCTGAACTAAAAAGTCGACTTTTAGAATCAATTTATGACTTCTAACCCTATCACTATGGGGGGGGGGGGGCTGGGGTTTTTTTCTGAATAGCTTGCATTAGAACTCTGAAACTTCTTCACTTTTTCAACATAATAGTTGATAACAAATGTTGCTAAAAAATTAGAAAATTTTAAATAATAATAATTCAATATCCCGGGATGGTTAAACCCTGCAGGGAATTCTTTAACTAAGAAATTAAACATCAAATTTTTACTATTCCTTGTTGGTAGAGAGTAAAGACTGCGTCTAAAAACACTTATGGCGAATTAGAAAATATATCATATCTTTCTAAATTCTGAAAACAAAAACAACCATATTATTTGATAATGTCAAAAAATAAACGTTCAAAAATCCCTATCACAGATGTCTAAATCTTTAATACTTAAAACTATGAATTTTGATATATATCAAACAGCCAAAGTTTCAAATATTAAATAACAAAGATAAAGGATTTAGAAAATTAGAGTTAAAAATAAAATTAATTTGATCGTTAAAAGTATCATTTTTTATATTCATTATTTGAACAGTTTTTTAGGGTTCAAAAAAATGAAAAAAAAATTTAATATTTTACGTTTAATTAAAATCTCCAGTTTTTATTTTTACAGCTGCACGGATCCTAATCTTTGAAGTTTAGAGCTAATTGTAGAGCTGATTCATGAAAATATTCATTGCGAGAAATAATATTTTTTAAATTCTTTTTTTTTTCAATTTATGCGCAAATATAATAATTTAACGATAATTTACATCTATTTTGCATTTATTTATATATATTTATCTGTTTGTATGTCCGATCATAACTCATGAAATCTTGGGCTGATTCGCTTCAAAGAAATAAAGTTTTTGCCACAAACTCTGATTTCTTACATATTTCTAATCCTTGATTGATCTACTGGCACATGTTTATATTTTTTTATATTTCAAATTAGTTTGATAAATTTTTGGTTCGGTCTTCTCTTATCAAACTGTTTATAGATAAATTTAAAAATATTTTTCTTGTCATAATATTTAACGAAATAAAATTATATTTATGACAAAAGCAAATTTATTTATTGCATTCAAAAGTAATTTAAAACTTTTGCGTTATTTTTAGCTCAAAAATAGGATTGAAAACATGAAATTTAAATTGAAAGTTTCAATTGTTTTGAATTACATTCGTTAAAAAAATACTTAAAGAAACTGAGATTTTTTCCACAAACGCAATTTTTTAAGCTCTATATCTTTGCAACCTAATTTCAAAATTAACCTTTTACATTATACAAAATATAACAAAATTTATAATTTATAATAAGGGATTGCATTATTTTTGGGTTGTAATGATCATATCTCGGATTTTTCTATCGCGAAAGTTTGGTGTTGAAGGGGTTTTAATTGGTCTGCCAGGGGTTGTAATCTGGCAGCACATTCATCCGACCACGCATCAATTCTTTTGAGAAGATGGTTGACTAGAACCCAGCTTCCTTTAGGACTGCTTGGGCCTGAAAATAGTATAAAGCGCCTCTTCTGAAATACTGATTAGAAAATCAGAGTTTGTTGCAAGAACTCAGTTCTTTTATGTCAACCTTCCCCTTTCAAATTGTTTTTTGTTTAGATAATAGATCGGCTGTTGGAGCGTCAGTTTCTGCTCTCCCCTTGGATGCGTGAGAAACGATTAAGAAATCAACTGAGGTTAATACTAAAGGTATCTTTATCTGATCTCTACCTCTTTATATTTGTATTTTCAACTTTGTTCAGGTTAAATATACATTTAGGATGTTTAAATTTACATTTTTTCCAAAACAAAATGTTCCTTGGGTCTAACCCAATCATCAGTTGGAATAAAACTGATTATTTTTAAATTCTATTGCTGGACAAATTGTTTCATGTTTTAAACACTCCTAGGCAGCATGATAAAGGGGGCTGGGGTAGTTCCTGAAATAAAAAAAACACCTCTACTAAATACCAAAACCAAAACAATATACAATTAAAAAACAAAAGTCGACTTAAAAACTCGACTTAAACTCGACTTTTTACTCCCATTAAAAGGCTGTAACTTACTTTTTAGTCGACTTAAACCCGTAAATAGTCGCTTTATAACTTGACTTTCAGCTGAGATTTTATACCGTTTTTGGACTAGATTTTTCAAGTCGAGTTTAAGTCGACTTTTCATGTCAAAAAAAAGTCTTTGTCCCCATCTTTCATGAATTCTCGTGGTTCAAATAAACTAAATTTTAAATATCTAAGGTTTACACCATCAGGTTGCAAAGATATAGGGATTGGAAAATTTGAAAATCTTTGTGTCGAAATTTCTAATCCAGTAAAAAAATGGTAATGCCAGATTCATAGCGATATCATTTTAACCTTTGGCAAAGTAATATTGTATTCTAATATTCTAATATTAAAAGAAATAAGAAAATTACCATAGTGTTTATGTATAGCTAACAATTGAATCATATAGAAATACTATTTTGCACAGATGTGTGTAAGATGAACTGTGCAGATGCTTATTATTACCTAACCACTAATTAAAATATTAAAAATGAAAAATCTATCATACTTCTGAAGACTTTAATATTTCATATACTGAAAGAATTTGACCTTTAACAATACATATTTTAAATAAAAAAATTCAAAGAGTGGATGAAGATTATATCATATTAGGCAACTCACAAAAAAAAGTTTTTTTTAATATAAATAATAAGGCTCTTTGCTCACTTACATGCTCGCTATATTGTGATATATAGCAGGCCAATTTCTAAAAAATGAATTATTAACATCCAACGGGTAACACCAGTTACTTCAGCTAGGACCAAGCGCGGGTGAATGGCGGGAGTAATTCTAACTAATTTTTTCTATCTCTGTTTTCAGGATTATCTTGATGCTGGGCCGCAAAGACGATCTACCGTCACAAAGATCGTTCATGACGCGCATCAGCTGTTCCCAGTATGGAGAGGGCAGATTAAAGATGCGGTAAAAAATAATTGTTTATTTTCTGTTAAAGTAACTGTTAAAGAAACCCATATTTTGCAGATAATCTCTTTAAACCATATTTTGCAGATAATCTCTTTAAACCATATTTTGCAGATAACCTCTTTAATCCATATTTTGCAGATAAATTGGAAAATTGATCATTGAAAAAAAGCTTTCTTTTTACCTATAACTTTGTTAGGAATTATTTGCATGTGAAATTCTAAAATTCAGAAAGAGTCAGTATAGAACGAAGCAGAGAATTTTATGATTTGACGCATTAAACACAGCTCTGGTTAAATAATTAAATGCCTCAATTTCTCAAACTAAAATGTTCTCAGAATCATATCTTTGCAACCTGTCAAACTATGTATTTTGCTGGAGATTGGAACATTTTTTATTAATTATCGTTTGATCGTTTGATCTCGTTTATCTAACGTGGGCACATTAAATATATCTGAAATGGTTTAATGGTTCACAACACAAACTGTTTTTGTTTTGTTTTAAAATTGTTTTTTTTGTCCAAAATAAAATTAAGATGATTTTTAATGCATTAGGATCATTGCTTTTAAATGTTTTTTTACCACATTTTCCTAGATGTTCGCGGACTGGGAGAAGGTTCAAGCTCTATCATTTCCTGAGGCTGCAGAAATAATATTTTCAAAGTTTAAAAAATCTAGGTATTTTTAGTCAACATTTATTTTTAAGTTGTGTGCAGTAAAACGTTTCTTTACTGAATTTTCCCAAACTGAACGTTTCCTTACTTGATATTTCCTCACAAGAAGTTTACTCCATAAAGAGTTTCCTGCCACAAAACGTTTCCTTACAAAACTTTTCCCTAGAAAATGTTTCCTTACAAAACGTTTTCTTACAAGATATTTCCTAACAAAACGTTTCCTTGCAAAACGGTTCGTTACTAAATGTTTCTTCACAAACGTTTCGGACACAAAATGCTTCCTTACGAAACGGTTTCTTTAGCAATTTTGTCCCTTTATTTTGTAGTAGGGAAAGTTTTGTAGCAGGAAACGCTTGGTGGCAGGAAACATTTGTTGGAAGTAAATGTTTTGCGTAGGAAACATTCTGTAAGGAAACATTTATCAAGGAAACGTTTTATAAGAAAACGTTCAGTAAGGAAACGTTTAGTAAGAAAACGTTTAGTAAGGAAACGTTTAGTAAGAAAACTTTTATTAAGGAAACGTTTAGTAAGGGAAAGTTCAGAAGGGAAACTTTCATAAAGGAAACGTTTTGTATGTGCTCTCTCAATTCTCACGTTTATTGAGACATGTTTTACCATGTTCTAGTATTCTTTTTATAAAATAGATAAATAATTAAGTATTGTTCTTAATGAGCTGATTTTGTTTCAAATTTCAAGAACGCAGTAAAGCCTATACACAATCATAATAATCCAGAAAGCATGAGACTTCAGCGACGACTGTACTAAATTTATTTTGACTTTTCCTAATGTTAATGATTCACGGCAACTGTAAACTTGATGGTTATTTACTTAATTAATTAATTAGCCATTAAAAACTGTAGATAAGCCAAACATTGTAAAATGCCTAAACAAAATCTTGGAATCGTCACCTTTTTAGAGTTTTATAGTATAATCCTGTGCGGGTAACGCTATATATATATATATATATATAACATTTGTATTTTCATCACAAATTTATTTTTAGATTTTCCGATGAGACAGAAGCTATCCAGCTGTATGCTGAACATATGATAGAGGTATTTATTGTTAAAATATTTCTAACATTTTTCTAATTTTTAATTTAATTCTTCTTAAAAACTTGTTGCAATATTTAAATACTTACTAAACACTTTTGACCATGTTTTCACATTGAAATTTTTAATCATCAGAAATTCATTGATAAAAATGTAGCAAACATAACCTTCATATTACTACAGGGATAACCTTTCTTTTGTATTTTAATTTTAAATCCCTTTGAATATTTGATATGAAAAAACTGTAGATTTGCCGTTTTCTAAATTCAGAACATTTTTGAGGACTTTTACGAGAATTTTGTTTGACCAGGTTGGCCAGTACTTGAGACGGAAAGCAAATGAAAGAGCGGAGAAGGCGGGTAGAACACCACAGATACAGGTTTACATTTATATATCAAGATCATATAATCATGTTGATCAATAAATTCACTTTGATGATCATGGTGACCATGATCATGATGAAAATAATGATAATCATCATGTTGAAAATGATCATATTGGCAATGATCATAATACTGATGGACATGTTGACAATTATCATGACAATGATCACAATGCTTATGGGCATGTTTACAATGATCATATTGATGATAATCATATTGGCAATGATCATAATACTGATGGCCATGTTGACAATGATCATTTTGATAATAATCATATTGATAATGATCATATTTATTATGATCATATTGATAATGATTATATTGATAATAATAATCCTGATCATAATGATCATGTAAATAATTATCGTGTGCTGATGATCATGATGATAATGATCATGTTAATGATGACCATGTGATGATAACGATCATATTAATAATGATAGTGTTTATAATAATATATGATGCTAATAATGATAATCATGTTGATAATAATGTTTATCATTTTGATCAAATTGTTAATGCTGCTAAAAATGTTGATATTGATCACGATTTTTATTGGCATGTGTATATTATTGATGATTATAAAAAAATATCATCATTCTTAAAAAAAATTAAAAGAATAATGATGATCATTTTTATCTAATAATAATTATTATTATTAGATGGTTGATCATTATTATACGACTGATGATCATGATCATGTTGATCAGTAAAAGTTCTGGATTATTCTGCATGAGAAGAATATTGGAACGATTATGTTAAATATTCTGATCACATGATCAGAGTTTCCAATATAAATTTGTCATATTTCCTGTTTAAAAATGATAAGGCCGAGTGAGGGTCCAGGTGTGGCTTTCTAAAATGAAATACTATTGATTACAAATCAGAAACTTTAAGGGAAACACTTGTTCCTCTTTTCATGGAGTATTTTGACAATGAAATGTGATAAAAACATAGAAATTATATAATAGTCTGAACTAACAACATATTTTTCATTTGTATGAGTAATAAGAAAAAAATCTTTCGATTATTGACATGTGGTTAGAAAAAGAAAATAATATATTTTGTTGCTCAGGAAAGAACAATTATTCATTTTTGTTTAAAATCTAATTTAGAGAGTTCAGTTCGGGCATGCAAATTCTGATCACGGATGTTGATACAGTTCCTAAAATGTTATTTGAAATGTTATTTTTTAAATTTTTTATTTAAATTTTTTATTTAGGGTTCAATTACGAATAGTAAGTTCTGGTATGAAGTGAGGAAGAAGATTAACGAAATATTGGAGAACAGGAAGGATCTGGTAAATATATATAAAATATATATTTAAAAAAAAAATTTTTGTGTTTGTCACAAACTCTTATTTTCTAATCCTTATATCTTTGCAACCCGATTTTGTAGACCTTAGATATCTTTAAACAATGGATTCTGTTAGAGAAATAATTTAAGTTTAGAATATCAAAGGGTTTGAGTTTGCTGCATAAATAGGGTCAAATATGTGTTTCTATGTATATCATAATACTTCATTCAAAATAACATTATCCGTTAGAAGATCTCAGAATTTAAAAAATAGTGTTTGATTTAAAAATATTTTTTTAATTTTAAATGTGTAAAAATTAAATTCAAATCAATGAAATATAAGAAGTTGATTACTCGACACAAGCTATTGAATTTAGACCTATTTTACACCTTTTAACTTTACAAATTCATGATGCTTTATACCTTTAATAGTTTATCTTGTAAAATTCTTGGCTTGAAATATCAAAGATGTATAGAACATGCGGTTGCAGCTAAATGAGGATTAAAGATTATAGTTTGTAGCAAGTAGTCATTTCCTTTATCATTAAATATATTTTTTTTATTGGAGAGGTCGCGGAATTACCTTACAGCCGGTTCAAATCATGAATCACCGATTCTAATCCTCCTGAATCTTTAACTGTGAATCGTTGATTCAAAATTTGAACCGGCGGTAGATTGTTCAGAAACCTAGCTCAAATTTGTTAAGTATGGCCCATGAGGAAGAAAAGAATTATGACAGACGAATTGTTATCTTTCCTAGGATCGTCGACGAAGTTCGTCGATGGCCGAACAAGATTCCGACGAAGACGAATCTTATCATTCTCCGGACGAAGATCAAGAAAAAAGAACAGTTAACATTCCGATTTACATAACTTCAGACCAGGTTAGAATTTGAGGAACACTCCCTTTAAAGTTAGAAAATTAAATCAAATTAAAAAAATAACACTTAAAATATCCAAATCTCAAGGTTCAAGTTCATAGGACGATACTTTATATTTTTAATGCCTTAAATTGCACGTATAAAGTATAAAGTATAAAGTATAATTCATACATTTTGTGGTTGAATAGCTGAATAAAAAAATGGCAAAATTATTAGACAGCTGTTTTATATGGAATAAACACTAATCCGCTTCATATTACAAGTTTCCACTTTGGTGGTAGGTTAACGCTATCCTGAACAAAGAATCTTTCCTTAAATTTCGACAATTCTGTGGAGTTTACACAGAAACACAATATCAAAAAAGGGTTTATATTTACACTTTGACCAAATAATAATTAATCATTAATGATAATTATTCATAATTAATGATAATTATATTATAGGAACGTTGTCTTGAAGAAACTTCCTTGGAAAACAGATTGAGTGCTGACAGCGGAATTGACAATAATTAAAAATAATTATTTAATAATATGATAATTATTGTAAATAATTGTAAATGATTAAACAACATATTTTTCCAAAATTATCTAATATATTTGTGTTAAATAATCTATATTATATATAGCAATTAATGCGTAATTATACACATTTTGTCTTTAAGCTGCACACCAATGAAAATCAAGGAAATATTTAAAGTTTAATCTCCCCCCCCCCTCCACCACGATCTTTAATTATAGAAAGAAATAAAAAAGAATTTTATCACTTAGAGTTATTCATGGGCACGGCCGTCTACAAGAGATTAAGTGCGTTTTGAGAGCTATTTTTGAAAAAAAAAAATTTTACAGGGTCTATGCGAATCTGAGATTGTATGCTTTTTTTTTAAGTTAGCTTTTTTGACATAGTTTTGATCAACTTTGGACACTTTTAAAAGTCAATTTTTAGAAGCAGAAATAATACCATTTAATTAACACAATGTTATTAAATGCTAGTAAAATTCAAGTATTACATTAGAATTTTTTTTTCTGTACACTATAAATTTTATAATTAATCAGCAACCAAGCATAATCTATTATAAACATATAATATCATTTTCAATATTTTATTTTCATAATTAGGATCTGAGATTTTGCCACACACTCGGATTTTTCCATCCCTATATCAATACGATGTTGTAGTCAGACTATAGATATTGCAAACAGTCGATTCTATTACATCACAAAGTCTAAGTTTGAAATATCAAAGTTTTACACCATCTGGTTGCAAAGATATAATTTGAGTTTGTGGTAAAATTCAGATTTAAATTAATGTTATTTCAATATCGAGGTATAACTGTTAAAATTTATACTTCAATTTCTCAAAAAAAAATTGTCCAAAACATTTTGGATATTTAAAAGAAGTAAACCGAAATTTTATAATTAAATTACAAAATTGTCAAAATCTAAAGATTGAACACTTCGTTCATAATTCTTGGACTAAAAGATGTGCGAAATTGAGAATTTGATTACAAAAGAATATTTCATATTTCATATTTTCATAATCATTTTATCCGTTATTAATAATATCATATTTGTTATATTTCAGGGCAGGGCTATTTTCAAACATTTAAAGAACTTTTTGTAATCATCAATTTAAACTTTTTTTTGAAGTTGATTTTCGTATTGGTTAACTAATTATTGTTTAAAGTTTAAAAAAATTCAATCGTTCGAACTAAACTTTTTGTAAATATTGTCGTGAACTAGTTTTTAAAATAAATGTATCTTTTTTTAAATATCGAATTAATTAAAAATAAAGTAACATTGAACAACTTTTATCTCTGTTTTGAAATTATTTCTAAAACACTGAGTTTATAAGAATTAAAAAGTACAAAATACTTGGTAAGTTAATCATTTATAGTTATTAAGTAAAATATCATTTGGAAACTTGGATATGGGGGGGGGAGGGTTCCATTTTTTCATTTTTTCATTCTTATTGTTAACTATAAGAAATCTTTTACAATGAGAAATTGTTAAAGATCAGAAATTGTTTACCATGAGAAATCGTTTACGATGAGAAATCGTTGATTATCAGAAATTGTTAACGATCAGAAATCGTTACCGATCAGAAATCATTAACGATCAGAAATCGTTAATTATCAGAAATAGTTCAAGATCAGAAATCGTTAACAGCGATAAGTTGTAACCGATCAGAAATTTTTAACTACCAGAAATCAATAACGATATAAAACTGTTAACAATGAGAATCGTTTACTATTAGAAATTGTTAACGATCAGAAATTGTTCACAATCAGAAATTGTTAATGACCAGAAACCATTAACTATCAAAAATGATTAACAATGAGAAATCGTTAACGATCAGAAATAATTAACTATCAACGTGCAATTGCTGGCCCTCATGAATACCTTTAAAGTGACCCAATTCGATGCCCAATTAACAACGCTGCCCTTGCAAGCTTTGTCTAATCAAATATGTATTAGATATCATTGCTTATAACTTTGAAAACTGAATATTTTTAATTAAAGTTTCACGACAAAAATGACTTTAGAATTTCTATAGAAATTGTATACTGCAGAAAACATAAAGGAATTCTCAGAATTATTTACTATTAAATTTGTTAAAACATTATTGATCCGATAAAGCAAGGGTACCGTTGTAAATCGGGCATTGCCTTTTTTGCATGGAACTTAGAAGGTCCCACGATACAGTTCCTTTAGAGGAAAATTGAATTAATAGTGTCCTTTATTTTAGAATTAGGGTGCTTTTATTGAACAATCCCTTTAAATAATATAGGAAAAGAATATTAGCATAATTGCAGCCCAGGCACGGGGTTCTCTCTTATCTTTTTCTATATAGCTTAGAACAGCGGTGTAGTATTGATCTGTGGGGAGTTCCCCCTTATCTCAACCTAACCACATTATTCCTTTTTTTACACCTATCTTTCTATCTATTTATCTATTTATCTATCTATCTAGCTAGGTTTACGTAGGTCTATGCCTCACTTTGTTTTTGTAGCTGTTAAGTTGTGCACTGTTTTTTTATATTTTTTATTTTTTATTTTTACGTTAAAATGGATATAAGGGTAAGTAAACTTGTATATAGGGATCAAAAAGTAAATTAAGATTTGGGAGAATTTATTTGATAATAATATTTTAAGAACAACTTATAGCTGTTTTAACACCTCCAGTTTTAGGGGACATCGAATGGTTGTGATTTAATTAAAACAATTTGTTAAAAAAAAGCAGTAACTTTACCAAAATATAGAGGCTAAATTTATTATGTCTTTTAGGGAGTCATGAACATTACAGAATTCCAACAGTATAGAAACAAAGCGTATTTGAGAATTTCTTTTAATTTTTTTGAAAAAATTAAACTTTTTTTGTAAGACATTGTAGCTTATCATTATCATTATTTCTATTTTTTAACATACCTTTGACACTATACAACTAACTAGATTCATATGTACATTTGTACTGCTCTCTGTGTTTAAGGAGTCCCCAGATTTTATTACGTACTGACAACATAAATGATCTATGGTTACATACATTAAATAAAACTATTTTATGAAAATGATATGTACAGTTATATTTTTACTAAAAGGATCGTATAAATATAAAAAAAGTTCTCCAGTAATGCTAATAGGATTAAATAAAAGGATTTTGTGAAAATAATATATATACACACCGATTACTTGATTTCTCAAAAATATGGAAAAAAAATTCTCCCAGAAAATACGCCTTGTTGCTATATCTAGCGATTTCTATACGCTGGATTTCTATATTGTTTGACGCCCGGTCTTTTAGACCTTGTCTAATATTGGACATACACGAGCTATCCTAGTTTTTCTTGCTATATTCTGATTATTTTTATAGAGGTTTTGCAACGTACTCCAATTTTTGAATCTCTATCATCGAAACCTGATATTTCAAACTTAGATTATTTGATCCATCTGAAATTATGATTTAAAATATCTAATGTCTATGACATTGGGCCGCAATGATATAGGGATTAGAAAATGAAAGTTTGTGGGGTACCGTTGTCAATCGTACAAGCCACTCTAAACCTAGAATTAGATCATGTAGTTCAAACCTAAAACAAGTTTCTTAACATTCAACTTTTTTCTTATAAAATCTCTTTAATTAAAAATGAAATAAACTTTTTTCTAGATATTTGCTTTGGGATTTTTTTTCTGTGTTTTGTTGGTTCAAGGTAATAATTGTGCAGTTGTACAATTCTAAATGTTAATAGTTGTATAGTTGTACAGTTGTACAGTTGTACAGCTGTACAGTTGTACAGTTGTACAGTTGTACGGTTGTACAGTTGTACAGTTGTACAGTTGCACAATTGTATGGATGTACATTTGTACAGTTGTATAATTGTACAGTTGTACAGTTGTACAATTGTACAGTTGCACAGATGTACAATTGTACAGTTGTACAGTTGTACAATGGTACAGTTGTACAGTACAGTTTTTTTGCAGTTGCACAGTTGTTTGCACAATAATATAGTTTTACAGTTGTAAAGTTGTAAAACTGTACAGTTGTACAGTTGTACAGTTGTACAGTTGTATAGTTGTACAGTTTTGCAGTTGCACAGTTGTTTGCACAGTAATATAGTTTTACAGTTGTACAGTTTTACTAGCTTTGATTTAATCCAGCATAAATATATAACACTCTTGAATTATGTTTGCTTCCTTTGCTGACATACTTTAAGCATAAGGATTTAATATTTTCTTTAGCACTATTATGAAATTTACGTACTCAAAATTTTTACTTTTTCGTATTTTGTGTAATTCTGTTAAAAGTGAGCAAACCATTTAAACAGAATTTCTTATTCCTAGTGTCTGGAGAGGATGGAAGAACCTGTTATAATTGCGGATATATACAAAGAAATGGTGGCGCTCCAGAACCACTTCCAGATCATGAAATAGAGTACTGTCCTGATTTAACCAACGGCCAGGTATTTAAAAAGACTGTTCTTGTGATTGTCAGTAACCTTCAAGCTAAAAAGGGTCCTGCTCTATTCACATCAGTACTCTTCAAATCTGTATGTGAATAATAATAAAGTACTTAATTCTGGAATTAAAAATAATTCCTTTTTAAAGATTAAGTGAGTATTCTTAAAGGGGGGGGGACCATTTTCTCCAATATTTTTAAAACAAAAACAGTCCCACTGGAAAAGGGTGAATGGGCCTTACCGCTTGAAAAAATCGACCTAAATCAATTAATTGTACGGTGTACCATTGTGCAGTTAAATGATATAAAATCCCGACGAAAATAAAAAATAATTTCCACATGTAGAGTCCAATAAAGAAGTGTGCTGACCCTAACGACTGCTGTATTGTTAGGAGAGAATTCAAAAATGTGTAAGTTTTTATTTACAAAAATTTATTTACACTAGGGTTTTAATTAATTTTCAAATTTTGGCGGATTTTTCTTTTCGAATTGGCGCATTTTTAAAATACAAAAATTCCAACTTATTATTTTATTTATGTATATATCAACCAGAGTAGTCTCAGTTTTTGCTATAATTTTCTATAATTAAATTTATAATTTGAAATTTCATTTGATGATATACTTACTAAGCTTTCAGGACGCTTCGCGTCCATATGCTATTTTAATTGTGAACATGTTCTCATTGTATAAATTGTAAAACAAAAACCAAACAAAGATGTCGCGGATTTTTCAAAAATCGAATTTTTTCAGAGGCAATTTTTTTAAAATTCGATCATCCTATTCCCATGTTTATTGGGACACCCTGTACACGCTTTGTCCTTGGTATAAGAAGATCTATAAATCTCTCTGTACGTTTATGTTTAAGAGGAAACCCTTAAAAAATCTAATTTAGAAACTTTCTTATTTTGTAGAAGTAACTCTGAGACTGGTAAATACCAGACAGATCTTGTTGTTGTACATGGATGTCAGGAGTCTACAACTGAACACTACAACGTGTCATGTACAGAAGGTAAATACCAGACAAATCTTGTTGTTGTACATGGATGTCAAGAATCTACAACTCAACACTACAACGTGTCATGTACAGAAGGTAAATACCAGACAGATCTTGTTGTACATGGATGTCAGGAATCTACAGCTCAACACTACAACGTGTCATGTACAGAAGGTAAATACCAGACAGATCTTGTTGTTGTACATGGATGTCAGGAAACTACAACTCAACACTACAACGTGTCATGTACAAAAGGTAAATACCAGACAGATCTTGTTATTGTGCATGGATGTCAGGAAGCTACAACTCAACACTACAACGTGTCATGTACAGAAGGTAAATACCAGACAGATCTTGTTGTTGTACATGGATGTCAGGAAGCTACAACTCAACACTACAACGTGTCATGTACATAAGGTAAATACCAGACAGATCTTGTTGTACATGGATGTCAGGAATCTACAACTGAACACTACAACGTGTCATGTGCAGAAGGTAAATACCAGACAGATCATGTTGTTGTACATGGATGTCAGGAATCTACAACTGAACACTACAACATGTCATATGCAGAAGGTAAATACCAGACAGATAATGTTGTTGTACATGGATGTTAGGACTCTACAACTGAACACTACAACGTGTCATGTACAGGAGGCAGATACCAGACAGATCTTGTAGTATAAATTCCCTATAGTCGTCTCTGATGTTTCATCCTTTGTGGGTAACCCCCTGTATTTAATAATCAATTAATAATATTTTTTTTATATTTTAGCCTCGGAAGATATTAATGGTAACTGTCAGATGTTTGAGATGGATAATACAGTTAATCAAGATGAGACACTTTTCAAAGCAGAAATATGCCTTTGCAATAAGGACAGGTTTGGACTTCTTTTGAGTGATCTCCTAATTTTTGAGCCAATTAAAAAATATTCACATTTTATGCCTAAAGAAATTAAGTTTTTGCTACAAACTCAAATGTTCTAATTCCTATATCTTTGCTACCTGATGGTTTAAATCTTTGATATTTCAAATTTAGACAACAAGGAATTCAGGGTGCTTTTCGCCCATCTACTATTTTTGTGTGTCTAATTAATTTGTGTATCTCTTTGTGTATCTACATTGTAAAACATAATAAAAGTTTGCAGATTTTATAGAGAAAATTTCCTGAAGTTTCAAAATTTAATGAAAATCAAATTTTGTTGGAGGCTCATTTTTGAAATTTTGATCATTCATAAACCTTCCCTAGGGTCATGTGAGGTCCCACAAAAAAGGCCAGATCGGTTCAGCCGTTTTGACGTTTATTGGATACAAACAATCAGACAAGCAAAGTGTTTATATAGATTATAGAAGTAATCCAACAGAAATTATTCATTAAAATATCAAGATCTCCGACATTAGGTTGCGTAGATATAGTAATAAAAAAGTAAGAATTTGGGGAAAAGACTCATTTCCTTTCATTATTTTTATGATTAATTTATTCAATTTTTGCATAATTAATTGCAAATCTTGCCATTTTCCTTGATTCAAATTATATAATTTTTAAATCTGAAAATAAACTACAATTTTAGCCCATGTTGCGCAGGTAAGTTCAAAAAATGAAAAAATCAAATTTTTTCTAGATGTAACAACAAAGTTCCGGATGATTTTTCATCTACTCCGTCAGCACCTACCACTACACCTTACAGTAATACTTTTTAAAATCAAATTCAGATTCTGAAAATAGAATTAAAAATTCATTTTCAATATTATTCTTCATAATATTATTTAAAATTACAAATAAAAATCAATGTCGTTGTCATATGAAAAAATTAGGTATTAGGTTTTTGTTATTGTAGCTACAATCTTTGAAATACTGCAACTTGTAGAAATTGGAATGTGCAAACCAGAGCTGCCTTCTATTGTAGTATTTAATATATTTTAAATTAGATAGTCCTAAAACTAAATGCTACGACTGTGGATATAGTATTGTAGTATTTAGTATATTCTAATTTAGATGGTCCTAAAACTAAATGCTACGACTGTGGATATATGCAGATTAATAATGATCCACCAGCACATCTTCCAGAAACAGACCCTGCTGCCTTTTGTGGAGATTTTGCAAATCCATCGGAAATTTATTCTTTCGTCTTAACTTTTGTAAACTAACAGATCTTGTTTTTCAATCAGAGTATTTTTGTTTGATTTATTAAATGGTGTTTTCGGATCCTACTCCTCAAAGGGACTGTCAAGGAAAAATAAAAGGGGTATAGGCTGAAATCTAAGCATTTTAGGTGTTGATCGAGACCCATGAAAGTTCTATCCAATGTTCCTGTCTCGAGAAATTGATATAATTTTGTATAAAAATAATAGTTTAAACAGATCATATTCAGCAAATACACAACCAATCTGAAAATGACAATATTCCAGAGAAGCCTAAGAAACTTAGGTTGCTTCTATTATCATTTGAATTTAATGATTTTTTATTTATAAAATATATAATTGAAAATATTATTTATATGTCCATATGTTTTTATGCAAAATTTTATATATATAGATTCTCATAGAAATTTAACACAGTTGTATATCAATTTCTCAAGACAGGAACATCAGATAGAACTCTTATGGGTCTCGATCCACACTTAAAATGCTCAGGTTTCAGCCCATACCCCCTTTCATTTATCCTTAGATGGACTGTAACAAAAACTAGTGCATATCTTATTCATACTTGATCAGACAAAGGATTTTAAGGGTACCGTTGTGAATCGAGCATTGCTATAATCTTTGGATGGAGGGTAACTTAAACATTAAATTTCTCTTTAATATTCATTAGTTTCAACCTTGGGGTTTCTTTAAAAAACATTTTTTAAATACTTTCATAACTTAAACAAAATGGTTTTAAGACGAAAGAAATAAAACAAATCAGGATTTGGAGAAAGAATGCCTGGGTGCCAGTGATTGCTGTTCAGTTATAAAGGTCTTTCATGCTCAGTAAGTGAATGTACTTATGGATTTAAGAGTTACTAGTGTCCAGCATTCACCGTGGAATTCAAACACATTTTTGGAGAGAAAAAAGTTCGAAATTTGAAGACAAAAATGTTAAAGAAAAAAATTAAGTTTACAAAAAAAATCTAATTTTTTAACATTTGTTACTCCCAGGGTATCCATGGGTTCCATTAAAAAATTTGAGCCAGTTTATAGCTAAGATATAAAAATATATATTAATTGAGCGAAGAGCTTTATTATATATAACTTTATTATAACTAGCTGAAGTGCCCGATGTTGCCCGCGGAATTTGAAAATTAGAATTTGTGTAGCCTATGTTACCCCCAGGGTATCCATGGGTTTCCTCAAAAAATGTTAAACAGTTTGATTCAGTCGTTTGGACAGCTATATAGTTAAAAAAGATTTTTATATATTAGTTAAGAGGTTTATTATATTGAGTATTGCGAACCATTAGAGTCATTTCCGTGAATTCAATTAGCATGAATCAAATTTAATAATGTACCTACCAATTTTGTCAGCTGTGTGGGATTTTATTTTTTTCTTGTTAACATTGTGAAAAGAAATTAGACGTAAAAAATGCACAATTTTATTCTAAAGGTACAACGACCAAACTAAAGTGAATGATACGGTGACAGTTGTGCGTCATGGATGCTTTAATGATCTTGGACAGTCTGAACATTATGGACTTTCCTGTGCCGATGGTATTTATTTTATTTTTGATATTTTAAACAATGAATTGAGATTTTTCACTAACTCAAATTTTCTAATCCTTATTGTGCAACCTGATGGTTTAACCCAAGGTTATAATGCAAGGAAAGTTATTTCAGAGGTGTACGCATCTTTTGTACTGCAGTGTACTGTCTCTGGGCGGTAATGTAAACCCAAGATGGATGTCGAAGCCTGACATGGGATCCATCTTTTACATGCAAAATCAAAAAATTATTCTGGTCATAGGAAACTATTGTGTGAAATATCAAAATTTTCAAAATATAATGCTTTTAACCTCCTCGGATACTAAACGAACACTGATGCATCTATTCTTGGTTACAAATTCCACCCAGAGAGAACTGGTTTCAATATGTACGCAGAGTATACGCAACTGCAATTAACTTTCCTTGCATTATAACCTCGGTTAAACCGTTGTTATTTTAAACTTAGAATAGTTAATATATAACAGGATACATAGTTGGAAACATCAAAACATTGGGTTGCAAAGATATAGGGATTCGAAAATTAGAGTTTGTGGCAAAGACTCAAATCCCTTAGCATGAATTTGTTTAATTTATTTTTTTTTTAAATTTTTAAGTTTGAAAAGAGATGACAGTCAAAGTTTTGAATTTAATTTTTGCTGTTTTAACATTATAAAATACAATTTTTTGAATCTCACTTGTCAATCAGGTGACAGCTTTTGAATGAAGGGAACTAGTTGAACTCTTTTTAAGTTAGTTCATTAAAAAGTCATCAGTTCTAATTTTGATTTCCAATATCAAATACTTTCTGAATTAGCTTCAAAATCCTCCTTATTATGGAAGTTTTTCAAACTTTCCTTTTAATATTTTTTTATAACAGAAATTTTATCATGAATGATAAACAATTATGAATACATATTTTCAGCGTCTGGCAACATCAATGAAGACTGCAAGGCATCATGAAAAAAAACATTTTTAACTTTAAATAGGTTTCTTTCCCTGGTTTTATAATTTATATAAAAATGTGTCTGTTTGTCTGTTTGTTGTATATGTATCCAATAAAATAAATACCGGAAAAAAGTATTTATATTTTAAAATTACAGAAATCGTGTAATTTTTAATAGAAAAATCCGACAAATTTGGGTTTTGAGCCGTTTTAAAGTTTTGCAAGAAGAGGATTGCAAAGTCAAGTATAATCCTGATTCTGTTAATTATTTTGAAGAAAAAAAAATTTACTTTTCTTTGGGAAATTCTCTTTGAGTTCGTCACTTCAACCCTATTTTAATCAGAATTCGTTATTCCTGAATCCTTATCAGCCTGGGGGGAAGGAGGTTGACGCCCCCCCCCCCCAGGATTTTTTGTAACATTTTTTTAATGCATAGGGCGGTAAAAATTGCTGTCTGTTTTAAAAAATTCTAAAATAGCCCATACCTTTATAAAATAAAATAAATATCTCATAACTTTTGCCTGATGACTCCAGGTGTTTGCTGATGATAAGCTGCCGGTAAATCATGAGACAGATGTATTCAGAGAAGAAGTTTGCATGTGTAAACAGGAATTGTAAGTATTATTAACTGCCCAGGTTACTCATAGTTACTCCCGCTGTTTACCCGCACTTGGATTTATTTCTCTATCAGGAAGTTCTCCTGCAGTACACGCTATACTTCATGAAGTACTTTGCATAACATTCCTATTGAATGAAGGGAAAGTTTAGTTCTAGGGGAAGTGGAGTAGGGTCATTTAGCAGTACGCTCACGATGTACTGTAAATGATCCTACTGCCTTAAAGCAAGGAATGTTTTGCAATTAATTCATGTAGTTTATCGTGTACTTCCTTATAGAATTCATCCCGCGAGGCAGTTAAACCGCCTTTTTAAACCGTCTATATACGAAGCGGTCGATATCGACGGCTCACTTTAGTCACCCATTACCTCCTTATCGGTTTACAAATTAATTTGTTTTTTTTAAGTTTTGCGTAATTTGAGAACTCAGAAACCAAGTTCAAGCATATTTTTGCTTGTTTTTGTTTTTATTCAGTGAAGATCTTGATAGGCATTGAGAGGATACGCAAAAATTAAACAAAAATGTGAGACCCCCTCCACTTTTTTACAAAGTTAACATTTTCGTGATTTTTGTTAATAAAAATATGTCAAAAGTTATTACTTTTTATATAATTCACATTTTAATGGTTTGAATTATTGTTTTAGTATAATTTTGGCAGCTATTTTGAGCGGTCGTTATCGACGGCTTCGCACATGTGGGGGACATAACAGTAGGGCAAAATAGACGGCTTCAGAATAATATAAACTGTATTGTTCTTTATATTTTCATTGATAATGCGGGATAAGAAGATAGGGATGGGAAGGGATGGGTGGGATGGTATGGGAGGGATAGGAGAGATGGATTGAATAGGAAGGGTGGGATCTTCCGTGTGTCAAGATATTTGAACTACAAACTACAAACAAGCTGTGTTCAATGTTTAACTAAAGATATATTTACTTTTAATAGTAAAATCTACAAACTTTGCTTTGTTCCGGAGCGGTCGATTTTGGCCATTTTAAAATCCCGTGTTGACGAAGCCGTCGATATCGACCGCTGTCACTATCTCTAAAACTATGCATTGTATTAAAAAAAATATATATTTGTGTTCCTCAGGGAACATTTCTAAAATAAATTGAAAATTTCAAAAAAATATTTTGAAAAATATTAAGTTCGGACATAGACGGTTAAATTAGAGATTCTTAAAAGAAGTTTACTTTTGACAGGCGGAAATACAGTGTGCAATTCAATTTACACATTTTTAACCCCTTCTGTATAAATCAATGTAAACTCTACTGGGTTACCCACAAAGAAAGAGATTGTACAGACGACCTGAAACTCATAGAAATGAAGATTGCATGGTTAAATTATGTCTTCTGTCTTGAATATTGTCAATGCCTTTTTTAATGACTTGGTAAAGAAACAACTAGTTTACAGTTGCAGAAAATCATAAATAAAGTAAATCGTTCATAATTAATTCCGTACACATGTCTCTGAAGTGTCATTCTTTGTGGGAAACCCTGTATTATACCAATTGTATCGTAATTATATTGTTTTTAAATTCTAAATTTCGGGCATTAGTGATGGTGTATTAAACATAATTATAGACTTTAATAATTAGATTATAAATTAAAAGAATACTATAAAGAACTACCAGCGCAGTATCACGTGATTCCGTCTGTATCCCGTCACCATACTGCACTGCCATTGGTGGGAGTTCTGGTCACATGATATGGACATATATAATACAGGGTGTCCCAATAAACATGGGAATTCAGTGACGAATTCGATATCGTCTTTTCAAATAATTCTTTGATTTAGTATAGTGATACCTACTGAGAAAGCTGTAATCTGTAAGAGTTTCGTCTGCTATGTCCAAATTTTGTTTGTTTATGTTTTGACTGCATACGGTTGTACTTAGTAATACAAGAAAATTGAAGTATACAAACAGAGTAAACTTGTCTGTCTTCACTGTTCATCTTGCGAAGACATTATAGACACATCTTTGCAGTCTTTTACACTTTTCATAAAATAAACTCTAGCAGACATAATAATATTATGGCTTTTGACATTAGGTATTACACTGCTAATTCATAACAAAGACGACATCGAATTCGTCACTGAATTCCCATGTTTTTTGTGACACCCTGTACTATAAATTATATCTTTTAGGAATGAAAAAAGTATTAAATTCAAATAATAAAAGAAGAAGCCTAAGTTGTTTAGGCTCCTCTAGGATGTTGTCGTTTTCAGATTGGTTGTGCATTTGCTGATCATGATCCATTTAAACCTACTGTTTTATACAAAATTTTATATACAGGGTGTCCCACGAAACATGACAATTGGAAGACGACTTGAAAGTCGTCTTTGGTATTTGAATTTATTAGTGACATTTAGTCTTCTATCTACTTTAACATGTATAATTCTTGAAACAATTATCACATAATTCTCCTAGCCCTGGCATTTCCAAAAAGTGGTCTGCGTTTTTTGTGCTTTCAATATTACCGGAGATATAAAGAGTTTGGTTCAGATTTCAATTTTGTTAAATAAAACCTAAATTGTCGAAATCTGAACGAAAGTCTTCATATCTCGGGCAATATTGAAAGCACAAAAAAGGCAGACCACATTTTGGAAATGGCAGGACAAGGGAAATTTTGTGATTATTATCTCTAGAAATTTACTTCTAAAATTAGGTTGACAAATAAACGCAGCAAATTATATCAAAAATCAAGACGACATTCAAGTCGTCCTGCATACTGTCATGTTTCGTGGGACACCCTGTATATAGACTTTCGTATAAATTTTTCACGGTTTTATATCAATTTCTCGAGACAGAAACATCAGATAGAACTATCAATAGTCTCGATCAACTCCTAAAATACTTAGGTTTCAGCCTATACCCCCTTTCATTTTTCATTTACAGTCCCTTTAATCATATAAATTGAATTTTATCTATTTAAGATGTAACAACCAAGTCCCAACAACAACGACCTCTAATCCTACAACAACAGCTGGTGCAGTGGCTATCACCGCTGGACATATAATCTCTCTTTTAGCCTCAGCAGTCCTTTCTTTAACATTCTTGTAATAAGGAAATTGGTGAAAGCAAAACTTGAGGCAAGCTTAACAAATATTTTGCTCTTAAATGGACTTTTACCTTGATCCAAAATTTGTATAGTGACATGTTTGATTCTCAACAGTACTCTTTAAACCTCTGCTGGTTATAATGAGAGAGAAAACCTTAATTTAACTGAAAATTGATTGCATTATCTTTCTACATCTACATAAAGTTATTTAAGAAGGATTTATGCTGAATGGGAAATTGATGGAAATGTTTAGAATTCAACACTTTTCATGACAGAAAGGTTGAGATTATACTAATATGGCTTGGAAATTCCACTTTATGAACTTGATTAGATGATATATTTTAGAGATCGTTTATTTTGACTTTTGCAAACACATGTTTTTCAAGAAATGTGAATTGAGATTTTTAGTTTTATTTTAAAGACATTCGTAAAAAAATGTAACAACAGGAAAAAGGTGGTTCACAAAAAAAAGATTATTTGTTCCAAGCCTAAAAATGTTAACATTACCCAACAATGTCAGATTAAGAAAGGATTAAAGTACTGCTGATGTTATACAAATCTTATTTTATTTTTCTTTATCATAATTTTGGAAAACAAATTTAGAATCTAAATTTTTTTTTAATTTTAGATTTTGAATAGATTTTAAGCACGAAGATTTTTTTAACATATATTTTCTAATTAGATGTATGCACTTCAGTTAATTTTTTTTTTAGTTATATATTTGTTAAATGTTTAAAAAAGGTGAATCAAGTAAGAAGATTTTGTGTTTTAAACCTAGAAGCATATTTTTTATTCTGTGTGAGGGGGGGTGGGTGGGGGAGGGGTTCTGTTTTAGGGACAAGCAACGTAACTTCTAGGGACCCTAAGAGTGTTATGCCTGATGATTCACAATGGGTACCTTTTAACCCCTTATTCTGAGAAAAAGCTAAGTGAACGAACTGAACACTATAATTTGTGTATCCTTATATTATTGCATGATGATGTCGTAGACCTTTGCTATTTCAAACTATCATCTGTATAAGATCTATTATTCATAGTTTGACATATTACAGGTTTTCATCTTCAGGTTGAAAAGATGTAAGGATAAAACAAAATAAAGTTTGTGGAAGGTTTGGTACCTTTTCTTATTTTTCTATCGAAAAATTGATCATTTTTCATTTTTTTTAATTTGGTTTCTTTTATAAAAAGGTACTTGCTGATAAAAAAAACCTCAGTAAAAGGGTGAAAGAGGCAGCATGTTAATTTGGCACAATAATTTTTCAAATAGGGTCCATCCCTTGAAACTACATGCATAGTCCCTACAATGCTGGATACAAGATCTGTTTTTCTCTTTTAAAAACTTGAAAATAAATTTAATGGTTTTTAAAATTTAGTATTTAAGTGAAATATTATTATTAATTAAGTATGGATGAACTTTTTATAATTAGATTTTATTTTTAAAATTGATTATCATCCATACTTTCTAAATGTAGCTCGTTTGTAAAACTGCTTTTCTGTGATGAAAATTTTGCTCCAAAATTTATAAATTGCCGAAATGTTATATTTTTTAACTACCCTTGGTAATGTTCATTAATATAACTGATTGTTTTGTGAATTTTTACGAAACATTTTCGGGTATTTAATTCAAACGTTATTGTACACAAACACCTTTCAGGAAATTATAACGAACTTAAATTAATTTGAAGGTGGACCAACTCCTTCTCGTAAACAACTGTGTATGTTTTATTTTCCCAACAAGGTTGTTTGAACCTACCTTTGATAATTACATAAATAACTGTAAATAATTTCATGTCAATGCTTGATGCTTTATAATTACTAAGAAATAGAATTGTTATAAATGTGCTTAAATAAATTTACAATAAATAGAATAAATGTTAATTTTATTGGAGTTTTTCTCTTGATTTAAAAATTAGAGTACACACTAGTGACATCGAAAAGCCCCCAGACATATCAGCAAATAATCAGAAGTTTTAAAAAATTGATAAAATAAAAAATACAAATTTTAAGAAATGAAAATGTTAAAAACTAATAAAAATATTAGTAATAAATGTTTGAAATTACGCGTACAGGCCTTGTACTGGACCACCAATAACCATGTATTTAAATATTCATTTTATTTTCACTTTAAAACAACTCATAATCTACAAGAAAGGAAATGGTATATACACTTTTATTCTAATACTTGCTGGGGAACCCAGCTTTGCCTGAAAATTGAGCTCACTATATCAACTTAAAAGTTGTAAACCAATCCCATTCCTGTGGTTCTACCGTTTTACTCAATACAAATGTTACTCAATGAGTTGGACATCTTTGAAAAAAATTAGAAAAGTTCAGAAAAATTTCTTAAAAATTAAAACAATTTCTACAGGATGGCTGAAAAAAACAGGGATTTGCGTTTTTAAGTACCAATTATCGTTTTTGATGAATGGTGGATTACCTGGGCCGAACATCCTACTGGGGCTGCTGTTCCCAAAGAGAATAGAATATATCTTAAGAGTGGAATTTTAAAAATGCTTCGGTATGAATTTTTTTCAGTCCCTTACAGCCTAAAAGGGAGTTTAAAGAGTGCAAATCATGTAAATGTTGACAAATTATATGCAGCAGAGTACATTAATACAGTATGTTCCCTAGACTATCCATTTCAATTTCTATTATTTTTAAAGCTGTTAAATAAACTTTTTAAAATGAATTAGGTGAATAAAAAACATCATTTGATTTAAAGTTATAACGGAAAATCATCGTTTGTAAAGCATGCATAGAACTTTTTAGTATGAGAAAAAAATATTTCCCTAAATTTGTTCTTGATATAATGCTTTAAATAAATTTGAGCGTTCTATTATTTTCAGGTATTTATAGCAGGGAAACCCATAAAGGATAAGACTTTATTCTTTTAACTAAAACTTTTATTTTTAAATATCTGAAGCTTAAATCTTAGATTATTAATTTGGTCTTTAATAGGTCTTTTAAATAAGTTAGAAAAGAAACAAAAAATGCAATTGACAACGGGAAACATCAATGCAAGAAAAAAATCTGATAAAATTAAGTCTTCACAGTGCTCCCATCTCTGTCCTGCAGAAAACAAGAACAGTGCTCCCATCTCCATCCTGCAGCAAACAAGAACAGTGCTCCCATATCTATCCTGCAGCAAACAAGAACAGTGCTCCCATCTCTAACCTGCAGCAAACAAGAACAGTGCGCCCATCTCTAACCTGCAGCAAACAAGAACAGTGCGCCCATTTCTGTTCTGCAGAAAACAAGAACAGTGCGCCCATCTCTAACCTGCAGAAAACAATAACAGTGCGCCCATCTCTGTTCTGCAGAAAACAAGAACAGTGCTCCCATCTCTGTTCTGCAGAAAACAAGAACAGTGCGCCCATCTCTAAGCTGCAGCAAACAAAACAGTGCGCCCATCTCTATCCTGCAGCAAACAAGAACAGTGCTTCCATCTCTAATCTGCAGCAAACAAGAACAGTGCTCCCATCTCTAACCTGCAGAAAACAAGAACAGTGCTCCCATCTCTAACCTGCAGCAAACAAGAACAGTGCGCTCATCTCTGTTCTGCAGAAAACAAGAACAGTGCGCCCATCTCTATCCTGCAGCAAACAAGAACAGTGCGCCCATCTCTGTTCTGCAGAAAACAAGAACAGTTCGCCCATCTCTAACCGGCAGAAAGCAAGAACAGTGCTCCCATCTATAACCTGCAGCAAACAAGAACAGTGCTCCCATCTCTAACCTGCAGAAAACAAGAACAGTGCTCCCATCTCTAACCGGCATCAAACAAGAACAGTGCTCCCATCTCTGACCTGCATCAAACAAGAACAGAAATAACTATTCTTTCCAAATCAACATCAGCTATTTATGCAAAAAAAGAAAGGTCGTCATTATTGTACTTAGAAGGAAGTACTGTTTATTAAGAAACTTAATAAGGATTTTGAAATTTAGCTTTTTTAATATTTTGAAAAAGTGTTCTGAACATTTTTAAAGATTTAACAGTTGCAACAATTGCAAATTACAAGATATTTAACAATATATCTTAATTAAAATGAAAAACAGAACCATTCATTCCACTTTTCTGTGGTTCTCACTGCATGTAGTATTTGAAAAAGAAGTCTAGACATTTACTTTACCTTGAATTAGTTTCTTGAGAAGATTGAACTATAGGTTGTCCTTGGTAACTTATTTGTATTTTGTTTTTGTGTTTAAAAGAAGAAAAGGGTATTCAAAATCTTTCAGGAAATGCTTTCATCTTGAATTGATTTTGTTAATAGAATTTTATTGAACAAATTCGGGCCAAGGATTTTCATTTTGTTTCAAGAGAAGACTAAAAGAATAGTTTAATGACGAGAAATTCCCAATGTCCAGTCAGGTATAAGAATCTGTATAATTTAAATAATGATAATAATGATAATAATAATGTCATAAATATCACGTTCAATGACGTTTTATTTGATGCATGCAGGGGCGACTAACTAAATTGTAGAGACTTTTCTTATAGACGCAACAGATAGAAGTAAGATTAGCCGCGATCAAAAGCGCTTTTTTTATCGCATTAAGCCTATACCCCCTTTCATTTTTCGCGAACACTCCCTTTAAACGAAATGTAACTTAAATAAATGAAGAAAAATAAATATTCAATTTTATACAAAATTCCGTCAGAAATTTTAAGCAATTTGCGTCTTTTTGGGTTAAATCTTTGGGTTTCGGAAATTAAATTTGAAATAATAAGACACAATACTTTTCTGTCGTCTAGTTACTCAATAAAAAATAAGAAAATGTGATATATGACTAGGGTTACTACTACAAGGGTAAAATATGTTATAGTTAATGTTTATCTACTGTAACCAGTAAAAGACTATTTGTTAAGACTTCACTCAAATACAAGGTTTAGTCATTGATAAAAGTGTTTACATTTAGAAAATAAAGTATTTATCTTCTCTGCGTTCAATGTTAAAGGGAATATCGGCGTAGTCTTATAGTCATTGATAAAAGTTTTCACATGTAGAAAATAACCAAATACAGTATTTATCTTCTCTGCTTTCAATGTTAAAGGGAATATCGGCGTAATTTCAAGTGACCCTACAAGGGTTGAATATCCGATATACAAAGTTACTCTTTAAATTACCGATTAAAAAAGATGAATTATATGTATATCTGATAATACTATTCTCTGTAAAAGTGTAAACGCGGATATCCAGGTGAATCAGGTATATATAGCACTAGATAAGAACATCATTTGTTAAGATAAGAACAGTCTCTTTAAGGATAATTCTTCAGAGGTTCCCCCTTATGATGATGTTGATGTATTTGTTGTATATAGATCTGGTGTTCATAGTACTGCTTAGCAATGTTTAGTGGCTCAACAGCTAATTCCTTCATCTGCGGGTACAACTGAACAATAATAAACATTTATTCAATTGTTCTGGCCGCAAAATCCCCCCCCCCCTCCTCCTAAGAAGACTTGATGAAAGATACTTAAGATCTAATTTTGAAAGAAAACTAAAGATATCTCAGTCGTCGATGATCAGACAAATATTGAATGGGTACATATAATTACAGTTGTTGTACCAACATGACAATCTGGACATGGAGTGTCACATAGAATTATGTATACAGTCTCTTTACAGGGTCTATAAAAATAATGTCATGTGACCATCCATGCAAAGATTGTCCGATTTACAACGGTACTCTTCAAGTACAAATTAGACATAATGTTAATTATCAGAAATCATCAGTTTTAAACCTAGAAAACTAAAATATCTAAAACATAGATCAAGGTTTCAAGGGGACCGTTGTGAATCAGACAATGCCATGTTTACAGAAAGTGTCAAGCTTAAAATTACGCTTCCAGTCCCTTGAAAAAAGTAATGAAAGATAACACCGAGAAAACTCAATTTCCTCGAATAGATTGAACAAATTAAACATTGATGGAAAATGTCTGTAAACAGAATACATATATAATAATGTTAAGATAGCTACATATAACTTATACGCAAAATATTTCACTTAAAGAAAAGTTGGGTTTTTTTTCATTAAAAAATGTATGTTTTGATTATATGTAAAAATGTCCTGATCATAAAAAGAATATTCTTTAAAATCTTCAAGAAATTAATCTAAAAATAGATTTCTCTTAACATGTAATCATGAAAATATGGTAATGGGTTATGCTGTACAGTAGTTTTAAACTCATGTACAAATCTAAACACAAATAAACCTATAAAACATAATTTATATTCAAATTAGTTTTAATTTCAAAATAGCCCGTTGCACAAAGGTTGGAAATAATCATTTTTAAAGAAGGAAATTATTCATTGCAATAATTCGTTATCAGACAAATCTTCACAGGGGGGTACCGATGAGAGTTGGAAAGAAAGGAAAGAGCCTAAAAATAAAAGTTTAATTTTTGAAAAAGAATAATGTTGCTATGGAAAACCACAGAAAAATGTTTTAACCCTAGAAAATGTAATGACAATTCTATTCCATTCTGATTTTCAAAGGATTTTAATAATTCTAAAATGTAATTATTTAATCTATAGGGGATGGGTTATGCTATACACCACGTTTGAACACTTTTACAATTCAAAATTTTCCTAATTACAGGCATTTCATGACGATCCTTATAATTCTAGTCTAGTAAACTTTTTTTTAAATAATTAAGGTTTTTGATAGTATATAATGTAGTCTGGCTTTTATCTTTAAAAAATGTGAAAATATTAGAATTCGAGATCTTTCTTAATTAGACATTGCTGACGGATAAAAACATTTTGATTTTTGTAATTTCCTTGTTTTATTTACGATGATATTCATACGGTACTATGAGTGGATCCGAAAATTAAAGACGACTTTTAGAGTAGTCACTAAATCTACCCTTTTTTAATTTTGCACCTGGTTTAACGCCTGGAATAAAGGAAGAAGCACAAACTCTATAAACTTGCTCTGGGACTCCATAACATTGACATCTCTAAACAAAGTAATCTTATATAGTGATAACTAGAAAACTCTAGAATAGGAAGTCGACTTGTAGACTCAAGTTAAATAGTGTAATGTACATGAGGTACAGCAATGTGCAGTAACACAGTACACTAAATTGGTTTATTAACTTACAAGTAAAGTTACTTGCTTTGTAATAACATCAAAAACACTTCAGGAAAGTCGTTTTGTGCATTTAGATCATTTAAAAATAATATTGCATTAGTTTTCTCAAACTTAATAGTAAGTTTATTAGACGTGTACCAACAAGCTATTTTTTCTAATTCTTTATTTATTGTGTCTGCAAGAGTATGAAAGTTTTAACATTTCGATGCCACATTTGTGTCGTCGACAAAGGATAGATAATAAACAATAAACTACTTAGACTTGATACTTAAACAAGACCCATCGTAATTTTAAAAAGATATAGGTGCTCTTATCAGACAAAAATGTTACATCTTGACATTTTTCTTTTTTGCATCTGTTACAAAAATCCACCAGTCACTATAAAAAGAAACCACATTTGTAAATTATCAAATTAAACTTTCAGATAGAAAACAAGGATATCTTCATCAATGCTGTATAACCCCGGGCCCTGAAATGTATTCATGACACGGATGATAAAAAACCAGTTTGATTTTAATATTTTATTAGACATAATACATTAATTGAATATATAATAAATATACCATTTTACTTAAAGGGAGTGTTCGCGAAAAATGAAAGGGGGTATAGGCTTAATGCGATAAAAAAGCGCTTTTGATCGCTACTAATCTTATTTCTATCTGTTGCGTCTGTAAGGAGAAAATTGTCAAAGACGTCTCATACCGAATAACTTAGCGGCCATACAAATTGAGAAAATTGCAACATACTATTTAGACCGTAAAAAAATCAATTTAATTTCAAACAAATCATTCAGATATTACAACCTATAGTCATCGATTATCTTTCGCCACATTTGTATATAGTTTATATTTTATAATATGTTTTAATTAATTTGTTTATTTCTCTTTTCGCTTGCGCAACTATCTAAGAATGCCGCACACCACTCACAATTTTCGAAATCCGTTGAAAATATTATATAATATAAACTATATACAAATGTGGCGAAAGATAATCGATGACTATAGGTTATAATAATAATAAGAATAATAATAATATACCTTTTTCAGAATTTAAAAAGGTGCAATTTATTTTTCTAAATACTCAAACATTTCAACAGTTTTGTTGTTTTGAATCTTCCTGACAAAACAAATCTCAAAGAGTAATATATTTCTAAATCATGCTTAAAACGTAAAATTTAAAAACATCTCTTATCTGTATTATGATATGAGTTCATTTCCTTCTTACAGATCTGACAACTCATTTAAAAATGTTTTTTTTGTGTTATTTTTTTACATTTTTACAATTCCCTATAAGTATAAACAAAATTTGGCTCAAATCTCTAAATACCCCCTCCCTTTCTGTAATCATTTAAATTGCAGAGGGGGTGAATCTATTGCTTTATACTTCTAGGATGTACATATTGTACATGTTTGGGTTTTAAATAATTTAAAAAGTGTAAGTGCGTTAATGAGGTCTAAATCTATTTAGTCAGTTTGAAAGGTCTAAACCTGAATAAAGTTTGCCACAATGTCAGCATGTCGAGACATATCCGTTCCTAATATTAGTATCATCATTTCCTAGAAAATATTAATATCAGCATGTCACGACATATCCGTTCCTAGTATTAGTATCATCATTTCCTAGAAAATATCAATATCAGCATGTCACGACATATCCGTTCCTAGTATTAGTATCATCATTTCCTAGAAAATATCAATATCAGCATGTTGCGACATATCCGTTCCTAGTTTTAGTATCATTATTACCTAAAAAAGGGAAGGTTGTAAGCTCCGCCTTTCAGTAGCCTTTACAATTTACATTCAAAGTTTTGTGGGCATAATTTCAAATGACACTTCATTTTTAAATAGGCTTTTCTTATTGAATCCAATGCCCTTTAAACCTTTGACTGATTGAGTATGACGAACCCACGCGACCACAGACCAGTGAACCCATTGTCCACAGATATGCTTGTACTTGATAATACTTGAGTGCTTTTTTTTCAGGGTCTTATTTATTTTATAGAAGTTGCAATAAAATAAATGTTTGCATATAAATTTGTTGAACCTGTAACGTCATGAATTTGAATTAGTTACTGCAATTTTAACATCATTTTAGGGACATACACACGGGGTTCTCTGAACTCGATATCAAAGGTTGTAAATCAGGCATTCCCTCTTTGAATGGAGGGTAACTTGAAATTACGCACACATTCACGTTCAGCTCTGGAAAAATCACAATAGGTTGTAATGAAGAATTAGTTCCTCATGAAATAATTAGTTCTTTGGAACAAGTTCTTCTATTTATTTACTTTGCATGTCTGTTTGTCAGAACTGCTAAACTGATCGGGTCAAATTGTGATCCTAGGAGAGGTTTATAGTTGGGTAAGAATTGGAAAAAATTGTCTACAAAAAAAAATTATAAAAAAGCAGCAATGAAATGTTAAACTGGAAGTCCAATTTTTTTATTATAACTTTATTTTGAACCTACCGCTCTGACTTGAATGAACAGGTCCTGGCTGAGGTTAATGAAGATATTGGTGTCCGGATTGCTTAGGATATTGAACATGACCGAGCAGTGATGGTTCTCTAGCGGGGACAGATCTTTGTAGCGCTTAGCAAGTTCAGTTTTAGCGTTTATCTGAATCATAAAGAGATTGTTAAGTACACGCTTTAATGTTTTAGAGATTGCTTTAAAAAAAAACAAGGCTTTTAGGGCGATGTGGGCCCATCTTCTATTAGGGCTGGGCACGTTCCGACTTTTTTGAAATCGTTCCGTTCCGTTCTAGAACGAGGGCCTTCAGCTAAATCGTTTTGTTCTCGTTCCTCTTTTTTTATTGTTCCGTTCCCGTTCCATTCTATCCCGCTCCGTTCCGTTTTGAGTAGAAGAACGGTCTTCCCGTTCCGTTCCGTTCTTGGCGTTCTTAGATGAAGAACGATTGCATCCCTCTTGTTCTGTTCTTAACCAAGAACGTTTCCATCCCCCGTTCCGTTCTTAGTAACGAACAATTACATCAAAGACAAACGTTTTAAAGAAAAGAGTTGGTTAAAAAGTAAAAAAATTACAATTTTTTAATAAAAAGTTCCTCACGGCCGTAAATAATACATTTAATTATATACTTTAAATTTAGGATTAAAAGAATAAGCTTAGATAATTCTGAGCAATGTATAATTTTGTGAGAGCGGGGGGGAGGGGCGGGAGTGCTAATATCCTTAATATGTATGTATGATACCTGCTGTTTAGTCTGATTATTGTCTTAAGAACGCGTTCTAAGCGTTCGTTTTTTTTTCGGAACGATGGGATCGTTCTTGATCGTTCCGTTCGTTCTCGGGAAAGAACGATCGTTCCACCAGGAACGCGCCCAGCCCTATCTTCTATTTCAACTTTAAATTGTGGCTATATCTTAAAGCATTTTCAATAAAAAAGCAATAACAAAAAAAGTTCGCGGATTTAATCATATTTTTCGCGCATTTTCGAAAAAAAGCTTCGGAGCTAGGAACTTTAGAATGGATAACCTATAATCTCAACTACTTATTCCGAATATCCACTGTAGAAACTTTTAATTTTAGTCCTTAATCCACTCTTTTTCTCTCTCTTTGGATATCCGAACATTGTTTTCTCCAATGAGATTAAAGGAATATAGTTCGTAAATTTGTTGTTAATTTTGTAAATTAATCGGCGAAGAAAAATATTTAATAACATGCTTAAGATTCTTTTTTAACCAATTTTACTAATGTATTTATAAAGAAATGAATGAGATATTAAGTGAGATATTAAAACCTTTAAATGCAGGATACGTCACTTGAAATTTGGCTGACAGCCTCTTTAACCTGATAATAGTTGTCAAACCCAGGATGATCAAGATCATGACAGATACAGGTTGTGATCAGGATCATAAGGTCTAGTTTAGTAAATACAGTGTTCAGCTTACAACCATGGATCAGTACATACCTAGAATATAGTTATATACAGTGGAATCTATAAACCTGTGGAACGGAAAGAAGAAATTTGAAAGGGAATGTAGCCATACTCTCAATGTAAAGATGTCAATAACCGAATCACAACAGTACCCTTAAAACCTTTATCTGATAAATAATATTATAGATATTGTCGTTTTTCTAGGTTCAAGGTTTTTGATGCTGTTTTCCTGAAGTAAAAAAATCATCTAATTCATGCATACAAGCCTCTCAAGGGTCCCGTTGTAAATCGGGCATTTCCAAGTACACAGGTAAGTACACAGAAAAGTCACACAAAAGTACACAGGAAAGTACACAGTTAAGTACACAAGCAAGTTTGGGGCAAAGTTCACAGGTAAGTACACAGATAAGTACGTGCTTTTGATGTTATTATTATATTATAGTTTATTATTATAAAGAAGTTAATGCCCACCCCCCTTGTTTGAAAATTAATTAAAATAGTTGTATATACATTATATTAAAGTTTATCATTGTAAAGAAGTGAAATGCCCCCCCCCCCTTGTTTAAAAATTAATTCAAATAGTTTCTCTGCTTGTTGTTTCTATGTCTGGAAATTAACATTTTAATTTTATTTTTTAATTAAACATTTACGTCATAAACTTGACACAGCTGCACATAGGGACTAGGGGGGGGGGGGAATATCAGAAAATGTCATTATTTATCTAAAAAATATTCGAAATGATTAGATCGCATACATGATGTAATTCTTTAAAAAATGTTTTCCCAGCAAACTTTGCATAGCACAATACATATTTTTCTTTTAATAGCCCCCCCCCCTCTCTAAAATAAACTAATGTTTGAATTTTTAAAATCAACCCTCAGATATTCCTTGTCATATCAGAACCAAAAGAAAATCAAAATAACAAAAATGTTGTTCAAAATGAATTATGCCTAGAATGTTTGAAATGAAAAAATAAGTGAGATAATTCTAACAATTTTGCTCAAGATTTCTCACAAAATAATAGTAATTTAAAATTGTAACAGTGTAATATAATCTTACATCATTTGTGTAACACAGAAGGAGTGTCGAAAATTATGAAATGGAACATCTCTGTAACTATCCTTCACTCGCAGTAAAAACCTAAAATAAGGGACTGTCCTTAAAGTATAAAGTGTCCATTCCTTTAAAGATTGCAAATTTTAAAAGGGTATTTTTTGTGAATTGGAACTCTATATCCGAAGGGTCTATTTAATTATCAATGGACACTTCAAAGTATTAAAAACTATTCTTTACACTAACTATTTCAATTTAAACGTGTTACATAAGTATAGGTAAAAGTATGCAAAATTGCTGTTATAACTTTGTACACTGCTTAAATTTGACGACTGCACATAGTAACAATGAAAATATTAAATGACCTTTTTAACAACAATACCTTTTCATTGTTTCCTCTGGAATATTGAATTCTTCCATTAGTCCTAGATCTATATACATCTCCTCTAAACAAAATATTATAATTTTGACGTTTTAGTCGTTGTCGTGTTTGTCTTTTATTGTCGTTTTTGTCGTTTTTGTCGTTTTTGTTGTGTTTTTTTTTGTTGTGCTTGTTGTTTTTGTTGTGTTTATTGTGTTTGTTGTGTTTGTTGTGTTTGTCGTGTTTGTCGTGTTTGTCGTGTTTGTCGTGTTTGTCATTTCTCATGCGTTAACGGTATTGTTATCTTGATTGATATCGATATCAATTTTATTATCATTCTTTAAAAAAACGTTCGTTCCTTCTCGTATATTTTTTCTGTTTGATTGAACATTTAGAAAAATAGGAAATAGCTAAAACAATTTAAAAATGTTCTTAACTTCTAATATCATTATAAAGCCAATTTGGAAAGTAAACACATACATTCTCGGATAGAAAAAGATGCTTAACCCTAATTAAAACAGTTTCTTTGTGCAAATTTATTTTTGTATCGAACCCAATCTTATTTTATTTTGTAACTGGCGATGTCATGCTTTTCTAAATATTTTAGAAAATTATTTTTAATTTGTAAATCGACATATTCTTCGTTGGGTAACCCTATCGTTGGAACTTTTGTGCGGAACTATATTAATCTTAAATGTTTGATCTTGATATCCATTTTGAGGATCAATGATTGATCCCTCAATCTATGCAGGGTATGACCACCATGCACGGGAAGAGGATTTATATTAATCCGGTAAGATGAAGATCAATGTTTGATCCCAAGAGCTTTTGTATTGGATATTCATAATCCCGATCCACAGATCTCGATATCCACTCTGGGCTCTTTTAATAAGGGTTTCTTTCCAACGCAAGTGGTTTCTAATAACGCGCGATTGCAAGCCCTGTAAACTCCACGCAATTCCGTACAAGTATGAGCAATTCGAGAGCAGGTGTGCGCAATTCCGCTCAACGGAATTCCAACTGGAACCCTACTTTTAATTTGAGGATCAAAGCTTAATCTCTTCATTTTAGTTTTCTTTTATGGATACACTGTGGATATTAAATAAAGATTTATTGATCTGCAGATTAACAAAAGATCGAGATTACTGATATAGATATTCACTACACAGAAGTTCTGACTTCTTAGCTGGGAACTTTTGAATGATGGATATCGGGATTAATGCTTGGTCCACTTTTTTTCTTAATCTCCAGATTAAATATTGCTTGTTCTCCTCTTATAATTAATCTCCAGAGCTGAGAACTATTGAATGGTGGATATTGGGAATAATGTTTGATCAACTCTTTTTCTTAATCTCCAGATAAAATATTGCTTAAGTTTTTTTCTTGTAATTAATCTCCTAATTAATTAACAGATCTGGGTTAAAGATATCCCACTCTGAAGTTTTTAGCTCAGATTATCGGGATTCGGGATTAAGGATATCCCATTCTAAAGTTTTTAGCTCAGATTATCGGGATTCGGGATTAAGGATATCCCATTCAGCTCTGTTCGATCAGTCTACGAGTTTACCTAGAAGGAAGATTATCTTGTCGGGTTCCCATTGCCAAATATCAAACTAAAATTGAAAATCAAAAGTTGAAAAATGGGGGAAAAAAATAAATAATATTTCTTCAAATAACTGAGAAATGTAAAATCTATGAGTATGAACTCAGTATATTGGGAGTAATATAACTAAACTCAGACCATGTTTTGTTTATATTCTTTCCATAAGCTGTAGTACGTTTTCTTATATTCTATTATGCGTTCAACTACAGTGATAACCAGAATACTCTGAAATAGGATGACGACTTTATAGCAATACTTAAGTGTATTTGATGGTGTTACATTAAGCAAATAGTTCAACTAGACACTTAATAACTCACTAATTAAACTGTACAATTGCGGTGTGCAATGCTTATTGAACCATTTATAGTCATATCTTCAGTCTGAAAGTCGTCTTCACATTTCAGAGTTTTCTGGTTATCACTATAAGAAAATCGGGATGGGAGATTTTTTACATTATTCTATGATATGTTAGGACATGATCAGATGTGTTTTTTCAAACATATAGAACCTTGTTTACGACTTTGTAATTTTTCCAACATAACTCTACTTTTTTGTTAAAAGGGTCCTGAAATTACATGAAAATTAAATGGCAAAAATTTACCAGTCAAAAAAGTTACATAATTTTACCTGCAGTGTTTTCAGGGCTAATTTGGTTCCTTCTGACAGGGAATATTTCAGGGCTAATTTGGTTCCTTCTGACAGGGAATATTTCTGAATATCAGGAACATCACTGAGAAAGTACAAGATTTAGAATTGTCTGTTATAAAAATAGGAGACAGATCGGACAAGAAAATAAAATTTATAAAATTATGGGAAACCAAATAGATTCTAGTGCAATAGGTGGCAACGTAGAATTTATACACTTTCAGTACAGCTGTATTCTGTCGTCACAAGTGTCAATTCAGTTTTTGTGTCCGACAAAATCATCAATAATAGGGATAATTTTAGAATACGATGCTTTTCTTGCAGTAAAATAAGTGCAATTTTATGTGTTTTTTAGTTTCTGTTTTTACACTTTTTTATTTAATCTTGAACCATGTCAACTAATTTGAGAAAATTTCGTTTTCCTTGTTTTATTTGACACTTGTGACGTCGTGTATAATTGGTTCATTTCTCTGTTGCCACCTATTGTACTTGATAATCTATTTCTCTGTTGCCACCTATTGTACTTGATAATCTATTTCTCTGTTGCCACCTATTGTACTTGATAATCTATTTGTGGGAAACCGTTAGATTCATACATTTTTAAACCTGTGATTAACTTTATGAAAGGGAGTGAAATCCTTATTTCAAGTGAGCCTCAATGCCCGATTCACAATGGTACCCTTACAAGCTTTGTCTGATCAAGTATTAATTTGATATCCATTTTTATAATTTTGAAAACTGATTGATTTGATAGTCTCTCTAAAAAGTAACTTTCTACTTCATGCATTATAAGTTACGTGAACACTCCCTTTAATTTCAACAAAAAGTACAGGTTTGCCCATACATACTTTACTAATGACTATCTATTTGAATATGAAAATCTGCAGCGGAGTTAAAAATGTATATGGCCTTCAAATAATATATTTTAGGATTAGACAACGAACTAAGCAAATAAACAGCTGCAAGGAACCAAAAGTGAAAGCACACGAAGCAAATAAACAGCTGCAAGGAACCAAAAGTGAAAGCACACGAAGCAAATAAACAGCTGCAAGGAACCAAAAGTGAAAGCACACGAAGCAAGTAAATAGATGCAAGGAACCAAAAGTGAAAACACACGAAGCAAGTAAACAGATGCAAGGAACGAAAAGTGAAAGCACATGAAGAAAATAAACAGATGCAAGGAACTAAAAGTGAAAGCACATGAAGCAAATAAACAGCTGCAAGGAACTAAAAGTGAAAGCAACAATAAAAAATTAACCCTGTATAGCCGTATTCAAAATCTGATTGGTAACCCTGAATCGGTTTCAAATTTCAATGTGCAGTTTTGTACTTATGTGTTAGATAAGGATTAACAATTAGAATGTTTGAAAATCACGTTGTTGCAGATTATTAGAAAACAAGTACAAATGTTTACTAATTTAGAATGATGAGAAGGAGGAGTGCTTTTAATTAACAGAAAATTGTTTGTTAGCATTTTAGGAATAATTTACATTCAGCTTTTAGTTAAGAGCTAATTGAAAATTTTCAAATATAGATAAATCTAACAAGGGCCAAATTTTATGAATATTACTAAAGCAGCCAAGCCCCGGTTAAAATTGTAATAACAAATTCAAATTTGATCCGGCAGTAAGTAGTTAAGTTGAGAAGTTTCTCTTGAGCTTTAACTTGCGCACAAGAGCAATGGTTCAACTACTATTAGCTATCCATTTGATATAGTCCCTGTTTGCTACAGTTTCTATTATTCATTTAGACATGAAGGATAAAATTGATTTTTTTACCTGGGTCCAGCCATTGTGTTGCTAGGTTACCACCCGCCTTTAACCGGTGTGACCGCCAGCCAATGCTCTGTTCGACCTCCTGCCTCTGACCAGTTTGACCGCCAACAAATTTCCGGTGTGACCGCTTGTCTGAGCTCTTTTTGGCCAACTGACGGCCTTTCCAGTGTGACCGCCTGTCTGTCTAATTACCAACGTGTACTCGGTTTAATAATAATTTGACCTCCTATTTGTCTCCGGTTAGACCTCCTATTTGTCTCCGGTTTGACCTCCTATTTGTCTCCAGTTTGACCTTCTATTTGTCTCCGGTTAGACCTCCTACTTGTGCTTAAACTCCTGAAATAAAGGGACTGTAAGCGTAATTTCAAGTGACCCTCTATGTAAAGATGACAATGCCGTTGAACCCATACTCCAATCAATAATGTGAAAGATACAGTCGTTTTTCTGATATCTCTTCTTGCAGTGAAAATGCGTAAGTCACTTTTGAAAAGAACCCCAATAGAAAATAGAACAGTTTTCCAAATTATAAACATAGATATCTAATTCATGCATTACCACCATAGTTTCAGTAGAAGTAAATATTTCCATTTACTGATAGGATTTCATAACTCTAATTGGATAATAAGATAGATAGAAAGTTAGATGTAACCGTCATACTATTTCTATTGATTCAGAATAGACAACAAACAGATGACTGAACCCTGATTGGACCAGGCGCTAATGGACTCGACATACAAGAGTGGCTTGATCTGACAGTTGTGAATAGGGCATTGTCGTCTTTGCATGTAAGGTCACTTGAAATTAAAAGAAAGTTTTGGTTTGATGATTAGAATTTTTACTTTGATTCGAATAACTATGTCTATAAAATGATCAGAGTTAAGATAATGATATAATGAAGACGACTTTCTATTTAAATTTTTTATGTCTACACATTTCTAAAACATCAGAGAAAACATAAACATGCAAAGTGAGTTGTCAAGTAACAGCTCCTTTTTGTTCACTTGAACGCTTGTAATTTAAAAATGTTTATAAGGGATCAATTGGCATTATAAATAAAAAGTCTTTATTGCATTGATATAATCGCCAGCCATGGCATATGTAAATATATATTTAATTAACTTAATGGAGTGCAGAATTAAAGAAATTTGTTTAAAAATAACGATAATTTATAGTGAAATAATTATCAAATTAATTAGACCTGCAATTAATGAAATGATGTTTGAAAAATGTGAAGTTTTGAGATTTTTTACTTTTCAATTTAGGTTTAAAACAAAAATTTCCCAGAATTTAAAAGTTTATTTTTACTTTCTTCCAGGAAATGGAAAATAATCAAATTATGATATTTTTAGAAGCTAAGAAGTAATGTTTTTTTATATTAGTTCTTTCTTAGAAAATACAGAGAAAAAGTAAAAAAAATTACAGAAAATTAAAAAAATTGGGCAGCAAATGTAAGAAAATATAAAAAAGTTTTGAAAATGTATAAATAATTTAATTTAAGAAAAACATCATATTTAAAACACGTTTTTATCTAATTTTTGTCTTCAATAGAAGTGCCTATAAGCATTTTCCAGAAGCGTGGTTTCAAATGTTTTTTCCAAAGAAAATGGGAGACGAAAAACTTATTTTTAACATAAACACTTTTTCCATTCCATGTACAATAATTAGATAATCAATAGATGTTCAACAAGACCTACCAAATCTCACAAAAGTGACTGTAGTTTCCTAAATAACGACTTGTGGACCCCCCGCCCCCCCCCCCCCCCTCCTATAAATTTTGTACATGCATCTTAGATTAAAATGATTAAAAAAGGATTAAAATGGTCATGTGGCCGCAGCACCCGCCCCCCTAGCCTGTCCTAGCCGCGGCACCCGGCCCCCTAGTCTGTCTTAGCCGCCGCGCTCGGCCCAGAAGGTGTCTTAACCAACCCTAACCCTAAATATATTCTAATTTTGTTGAAAATTGTTGAAATTGAAGGTCTGTCCTGGCCGCAGCTCTCGGGCCCCAAGCCTGTTCTAGCCGCAGTGCTCGGCCCAGAAATTGTCCTAACCTGCCTTAACCCTTAAATAATACAAAATGAATATTTTTTGTTGAAAATAGTTGAAATCTAGGTTATGTACAAAATTGATAGGAGGGGAGGGTGCTGCATGGGGTCCAAAAATCGTTCTCTAGTACAGACCCCAAATTTCTATTTAAACAATTTTGTTCTTGAAATTGTAATTCACTGTTTATAAAACGATCAACTATAAATTAACGATTAATTCGCTTTCTTGGATTTAGGTAAATCAACTTTATAGTGTACAAGTGTACTTCTAATGTACGTTCTGGAGACAGTAACTTAAAAACTAGGATTTTAACCAAACCAGGTTTCGAATACATTTTCTTAAAAGTACGATCTAAATTGTTCGGGTCTATTTATCTTCATTATAGTTTGTTCTTGCGCTCTCAGATTACAATAGAGATATATCCTTGACCCAGATATTGAATCAAATTAAAATGTTTCTGATTTTTAATTAGATTTTTTAAATTCTTTACAATATTGTCAGAAAGGTGAGACTGACAATTAAGGGATTCTGGGAAAATATTAATTTCTTCAATTTACTTTTTTTTCAGATGGCGGATCCGTATTTGAACTACTGCCGTTTGAACTATTGATCATTTGAACTATTGATAATTTGAACTATTGATCATTTGAACTATTGATCGTTTGAACTACTGACTGTTCATTCTAACTACTGATAATGATGTTATTTACTGAAGTTCAAACAACACATTATTTACTCATTTAAACAATCAAATATGCAGTTTAAGATTTTTATATTTTATATGAACATATATAGTTTACGATCAAACAATATTTCACATGTATGGACAATGAAATAATTCAAATAACCAAAAAAATAGTTCAAATGTAGGATTATAGTTCAAATGAGAAGAAAAGTAGTTCAAATGAACAAAACAATTAAGTTCAAATTAACCAAAAAATAGCTTTCAAATGAGTAAAAAAATTGTTCAAATGAACTAAAAAATAGTCTAAATGAGCAGAAAAATAGTTCAAATGATAAAAAAGATAGTTCAAACAAGCAAAAAAATAGTTCAAATGAGCAAAAAAAATATTTTCAAATGAATCAAAAAGACAGTTCAAATGAGCAACTATTTTTTAAGCTCATTTAAACAAAATATTTTTGTTCATTTGAACTATTTTTTTACCCCCTCCCCCTCCCCCCATTGCCCAACATTTTTGTACACGGCCTAAATTTTAACTATTTTTTATAAATTACTAAAAAATATAACTTTCATCAATAAAGGCAAAATATATGGAGAAACATGAAATTGTTGATTAATGAAATCTTTGTTTTTTCTTTTAAAAAGTGATTAAGAACTTTGTAAAACTCATATATTTATAAAATTGTTCCTAGGGCACTTTTAAGCAGCAGTTCAATCGCACATTAAAAACATTCTTAACAACATTTTATGGTAGATTTATTTTGACACAAAAATTCTAATGTTTTCTGGTTCTCAGTGCATGAGGTTAAAGTTCATTCAGCCACCACTATATATAATGTTTATTATTAGAATTACAAGTAATATTAAACCAAGCCAATGAACTACATAATATATTCTATAGATTCATGGAGTAAATATAGTATGGAGGGAAAATCTAGCTGATCCTGCCTTACAGGGACTGTAAGTGTAATTTCAAGAGACCTTTCAATTAGATCTCTGATTTACAACGAAACCTTTTCAACCTTTGACTGAGACATGACAGAATTTTCCCTAATTATCTATCATAATTTTTTTCAAACTATTTTAAAAGGGATTTTACAAGGAGATTATTAAATGTCGTCTTTTTTCAGGGGTGTATCAAAGGAATTGGTCCAGGGGTGGGGTGGGGGCTCAAGGGGGGTGAGACTCAATAGCCCCCCCCCTGTGTATGCCTCTGTCTATCTTATAAACGTAACAGAAAAGCATCTATTTTCCTTATTGCCAACAAAATTTCTTTTATTTCTGACATAATCAATTCCAGTAGAAAATACTAAAGGTGTTGACAATAAAATAGCAATGCTGTATTTAGTGTTGTTACAAAACGAATAGTTTTGCTATTAACTTACAGTGAAACCCTTAATAAGCCATACATCGAAAGAATTCATCAAATGTCGTAGTCTTCACTTTCCGATAATGGAATATTGCAGATATTTAGTTTTTTAATTAAATGATTAAATAGAACCCTTTAAAACTGTTCCCGCATGTTATTTATTTATTTTCGCAAATACTGAAATTTACGTAATATACTAAATCACTTATTTAGTTAAATGGATCTGTGCGTTTACACTGAACAACTTTATTTTGTCTCATATTGAGTTTGAAAGTCGTCTTCCTATTCCAAAGTTCTCTGGTTCTCACTATCCACACAAATATTCTGTTTAAAATCTGGAACCATGCAATAACTCGGACTGGGGTTATCATCCCTCCATATTAATCTACTCCGGAACCTAACTATTCTCCATGTTTATCTACTCCCTGACCTAACATCTCTTTATATCTGTTTACTCACTGATCTAACTTTTCTCCATATTTATCTACTACCTGAACTAACATTTCTCCATATTTATCTACTCCCTGAACTAACATTTCTCCATATTTATCGACTCCTTGACCTAACATCTCTTCATATCTGTTTACTCACTGACCTAACTTTCTCCATATTTATCTACTCCCTGACCTATTTTTTCTCCATATTTATCTACTCCCTGAACTAACTTTTCTCCATATTTATCTACTCCCTAACCTATTTTTTCTCCATATTTATCTACTCACTAAACTATTTTTTCTCCATATTTATCTACTCCCTGACCTCGTTTAATGAACTTCTGTCACTCTATTCCCACATTCTCATTCCTTACACCCTCTCCAGATGGAAGTTTAACTTCAACTGAAGTAAGAGTAAAACTATTGCACTAGTCATATATTATACAGATAGGACAGATGCTTATTTACTTCTTCTATTCATATATTACACAGATGGGACAGATGCTTATATTTCTTCTGGTCATATATTAAACAGATAGGACAGATGCTTATTTACTTCTTCTAGTCATATATTATACAGATAGGACAGATGCTCATTCTGTTTCTTCTAGTCATATCTTATACAGATAGGACACATGCTTATTCACTTCTTCTAGTCATATATTATACAGATAGGACACATGCTTATTCACTTCTTCTAGTCATATATTATACAGATAGGACGCATGTTCACTGCTTCTTGCATATATTGCACAAATAGGACAGAGACTGCATGCTTAATATCTCCGATAATATTTAAACATAAAAAAGCAGACCACGAAATCAAAATATCATAGTTAAAGATAAATGTTTAAAAAACAAATTTTAAATAAATTTAGTTTACAAATAAATGCCGAAATATATTTCAGGAAAGTTTCATGTTTTGTGAAACACCCTGGAACTAAAGTTCCTTCCTATCTCTGTAAACAGTATCTCACTTGCTTATTGTTTATTTAATAAATGAATCCTGATAATAACAGGGTATAGTGACAAAACTATAATTCCACAGGACATGTATAAGTTTAGAGATGACTTGAAATCAAATGGTTTCAAGACTCACACACAACTAAGCTAGTAGGGTAGGAAAAATAGGCCTATGATAGGCCGGGCACTGTAAAAAGTCTGGCCGTGTCGTGCACTGCGTCATTAAGGCCAGTACAAGAGGTCGGTCAGGTTCGAATTCTAATTGACCCTATGTCCACAGTGAACTAGATATTCTTTTTTTGAAATTATGTTATTTTCAATTGTCGTTTCTTTATAAAAGCGACTTGCGGATTTCTGCTTGCAGAAACGACGAAGTTAATTGTCAGAAATTGTTAAGCTAGAAACAAATATACGACCATATCTTCTATACGCTACATTTTTTAAAAGATACTAGCTGAAGTTCCCGGCCGCGGCATTACCGGTGGAATTTTTTTTAGCCTCTGTAACCCCCAAACAATTTCAGCCAATTTGGTCCAGCCGTTTGGCTGCAGATAAAGTTTACATATGAATATATATTTATATATGTATGAGCGAAGATGTTTATTATGTAATTGTTCCTTCGCTAAAATTAAAGCGTTAGTAAGGCGGCCAATTAAATTCTTGAAATAAAAGAGTCAGTTACATTTGCCATAAATATATTTGCCATGAATTACACTTGCCATGATTACGCTTACACGAAAATACTTTTGCCATAAGTAACACTTGTCATAAGTTACACTTAATCCATAATTACTTTTGCCATAATTTTTTACCTTTTACAAAGATATAAATCTAACTATTTTTATTTAAATTTTGTTCATGAAAATTCCCAACTTTAGTTTTGTAACAATGCTGCTGTGAGAGGTATGAAAACTATTACTGATAGAAAGAGCTTGGTGAAGAATCATTGACAATACAATACTTTTCCAATAGAGCAAAAACTTAACCTTATAGCTCATCAGCTGTCCCTCATTTAGATTTGTTAATTGTAGTCACAAAAGTTAAAATTGACGATGTTCAATAAAAAATGTATGTATGTAAATTATAACTATAATTAATTGTAATTATGACAAGTGTAACCATTTTGGCAAGTGTAACTTATCGCAAACGTATTATGGCAAGTGTAATATAATGGCAAATGTATTTATGGCAAAAATATTATGGCAAGTTTAAATGAACTGTTTGTACTCTGTGTTTTTTTTAATGTTGATTACCAAGAATGAGTAAGCTATGAGAAATAATACTGTATAATTTAGACTAAAAATAATACTTCAATGAACAATGTCTATATATATAGATTATCATTAGAACAATTTTAGAAAAAAAATTCAGTTTTTGCATTTTCCATGGTTTTAAGTTTCATGAAATTAATATTTTCCTGAAGAAATAAAAAAAATTTGATGACAATTATTATTATCAAATTATTAAAATCCAATAAATCTAGAATTTCGTTATGCAGTTTGAAAATATAAAAATAGATTGATTTCAAATTAGAAAATGTTTAAACTTTAAAACTTTATTTTTAATAAACTATAAGCATAACATAATATTTTCAGGATTTATACAATACTATTTAGTTTTATTGGAATCCTATAGAATGATGTAAAAAAAAAGATTTAGAACCGAACACATTTCTACTTTTGTCGATCCTATTCACAACAGTAAGTTTAACATAACGTGAAGTATTAAACAACCAAATTAAGAGGTGGATGTTTCCTGTTAAAAAGGCTTGGAT